AATGACAGGTTAGGGTGAGGTGAAATAAGACAGGAGTGTTTCTGGACTTTATTGGGCTGTTGTGACTAAATAAACAAACAAAATTGCATGAAAATATGGAAGACTTCAGTAGGAATCACTGAGCTGGTATGTAAGAGGCTGAGTCATGTGGAACGTTTGAAGAAAAAAAATGTATATTTTATTTCTGATTATAATCGGTCACTGAATGTTTCACGCAGGCCGAACATAAAAATAGTCTCCCCACCTATCTCCTGCATTAGCTTCTGATAGAAAATAGATAGCGAAACTAAGATTAGAAAATCCTGACAGATCTACGTCACACTGTCACTTAACATTCATGGACTCACCCATCTTGACTCACGACGGGGAAGGCTGTTGTTGGTTTAACGTCCAGGAAACAGCAGAGAACGTCTCGGCTAGTAGAAGCTAACTATTAGCATTAGCAACTCCACCACAAAGCAGAACTCCTTCAGGTTTGTGTTACTTGTGGAGATAAAACATCAACATTGCAGAGGAGAGTCAGTGGTAGAGTCGTGTTGCTGTTATCCAATCAGAGGAGAAATGTCCGAATATCAGGAAATGAGATTCCAAATCCTGCTGTGTGAATAAACTTTATTAAGCGGTCTGATTTTAACACTGAGCAGTGCACAAAATTACGATTTAACAGCTGGTAAATGAAGTGTTCAAAAACCGATCAGCTTCAGAAACATTCTGCACCAACTGATGTTATTAGTGACAGTCTAACAAGCAAATAAGTTGGAAAACATCTAGATATTGGCCGTGACGTTCACTTGTCGGCCATTGGCGGAACACAACCTCTTAATAATGGCATCTGCAATAAAAAATCATATTGGTCCACATCTGCTACTAATTACGTCTCAGTAATGGTGCAATTCATTCTTATTTTAGTCAGATTTATGATGCCTTTTCCTGCCTGAGTGTGTGTGTGAGTGTGTGCGCGCACGCATGCGTGTGTGAACCTGTTTTTGAAGTCAGAGATGCCTTTCTTTTTCAGATGCTCCAGGACATCAGATTCACTAAGAGGAATGAAGCTGCCATATTTTATATAGAAGCTCTCCAAAAACTCTGCAAGAAGAACAGAAGTCATTTTAAAACTGATCACATAATTAATAGCTGCCGCCACGGCTGTGACGGGACCTACGGGCCACCGTAGAGGTGAAGGCTAGACTGTCCGAATTCAGAGCCGCTGGGTTCTGCTCTTAACGGTCTAGCAAGGACCCGGCCTTGCTAGACCGGTGAGGACCCGTACTCGTAAGCATCCTACCCGTGGATTCGGACACACCCTATAACTCCACTGGCTAGCAGCTATGAACGAAATTGAACTACGGAAGATCTGCATGGAGAAAACGTCAAAAACTCTAAAATCAAAATACTTCAATAAACGGGACAAACTTCCTGCTAATCAATTTTCACAACTGATGCTAATACCTATGGCCCTTCAATGGATGTGCTCCTGGCTGCAAAGCATTGCACCTTAAAATACAAAATTTTGTTTTTACTTGTGTTTACGTAGACAAAAAAAAAACTTGATATGATATGTAGATAAATATGTAGATCCATAAACTTGTTATATTCAGTACAAGTTACATTTTTTTTTGCTTCCGTTAGTTTAAGAATGAGAAAAGCCCCTTGAGAAAATAATCGTGAATTAAATCGCAATTGCAATATTGAAGAAAAAAAATCGCAATTAGATTATTTTCCAAAATCGTTCAGCCCTAATGTAGATCACCTCGAACGATGCAGCTGTGTAAGACAATCCCTCAAGATGGGAAATATCCCCTCTAGTGAGGTTAAGATCCTTCTCTGGAGGATGGGAATTCCCAATACTCTATATAGAATCATGTAAACACCTGTTAAGGATAAAAAGTTTAGGTTTATAGATCTTACCATGAACCATGTCGGTGAGCTGCTCCAGGCCTTTCTTACTCCGAGTATCTGCACTAATCGCGTTTTCTTCAGCTGGATTCGTGACCACCACTTCTGTCGTCTCGTCTTTTGCCCACGTTCCAGGGTGACAGTACAGTCTGTGGTCTCTTAATGCCCCGAGGCACTCTGTGCTGCTCATTGTTATGGGGTCTGGAGGGGGAACCAAAGCTGAGCTAGAGGTTTTCATGTTAGCAGGTGAGGATGTGTGTTCTCGGTCTGTTGGTGTGGTTGTGTTCCCGTTGGGCAGCGTTGGAGATGCAGAAATTTGGTTTTGGTCAGAGATGTGGTCCACCTGCATCTCAGAGTCAAGGCTTTGGGACGATTCTAATCTTGAAGCAGGAGTTGACTGCATTGAGATTAACAGAAGCTCATCTGCAGGTTCACTCACAATTATGGTGTCGTCTTTCATTTCTTCATCCGAGTCAGACAGGCTTACCATGTCTCCGTTTCCAAGCAGACATTTAGCTAAGCCGGTGTCATTTTGGTCCACCCGTGAGTCTTGTTTTCCCTCTGGTTCCATCACTAACGCTGAGTGAGCTAAGGCACCTGTTCCTGAACCGAGACGACCTCTTCCCCTGCTTCTTACTTGAATGTTAACTTCCACTTTTGATGCAGCCATGAGGTTCCCTTGCCCTCTACCTCGACCTCTGCCTGCTAAAGAGCTCGTTCTATCCTGTACTGGCACTTTTGTGACACCGTCCCTTTTCTCACCACCTCCTTTCTCTGCCGCACCAACAACCCCTGACTGTGTCATCAACACACCCTGTGCAGCCCCCATACTTGCAGAAGCACAGTTTGTAATTGGTCCATCTTGTGAGGTGGCTGAGACAGGCTTAGGAGGGAGGGTTTGTGACTGTGTATCAGCCACTTGTACAGATGTTTGCAGAGCCTCCTGTGGGTTATCTTTATTCTCTGTTGTCTTTACCTTCGCCTTGGCTAAATCGAAGTTCTTGATTACCTTCAACTGCTCCACTTTCCTTTTAGGAGTATCCTCAAGGTCCTTGACAGCTCCTCTCCCTCTCCCCCTTCCCCTTCCTCTCTGCGCCCCCCTCCCTCTATCTGAGCTTTTGACATTGTGTCCTGCACTGTGGGGGCCACAGCAATCACAGGCCTTAGGAGTCCTTTTCCTGCCTGATGTACGGCCATTGACAAGGCCTTGAGCAGGGGTCGGTGTCTGTGCAGACCCCCTGACAGACGCTAGTCTTGACTTAGACTGTAATGCTGTTGCTGTGGTCGGGACAGGAGGATTTCCATCAGATGGAGCCCGAGAAGAATCAGGGGTTGAAGTTCGGCCTGTTTGGTGAGATGAGGCAGACGGCGTTGTTTTCATTGGAGAAGAAGAATTGCTGTGAACCATGACGATCGCCTTTGGCTCTCCAACCCCATCCCCAGTGCCTCCGCTCCACACTTCTGTCCTCGTCTCCCAGTCAGTTATATGGTTGGTTACTATTGTGGATTATTTATTCTTCCTTGATAATTTCCTCACACTTCCCTCCAAGTATTTATTCTCTTGCAGACTTTCAGAAAAGTGGTTGTTCTGGGGAACAGAGGAAGATGACGGAGCTTTCAGTCATACAACAGCACCATAGTCTCCTAATCTAAGGAGACAAACAGATTTTTATAGTTACTTGGTTTGAAGTTAGCAGTGTGTGATCAACTCCAACTACAGCAAGTTAAGACATTTTTATAAGAGATTGTGTCTAGAATTGAAAAAAGCAAAAATAATCACACTGGAAACAGTTCACATTAATATTTGTAGAGAACATGAAAATAGTCAATGAGCGCATTCCTACATGCAACTGATACATTTAACCCACAAAACCATTTTCCAAGTCTGTTATAATTCTTTACACTACATACCTAATCCAACTGCAGCTGGTGCTCATTTTGTATAACATTACAAATGGCTCCTATTCACAAGTAACTCTCATTTTTACCCAAATAGTTTTAATAGTGTAAATTGGTAAACTGTTACTATTTTCTAATTTTGACCCGATTTATTTTGATGAGTCTCTAAAACCTGCACTGAGGTCATGGGTTTATTTATAAAACGGAACATAATATATTTGCTTTACACATTTTTGTCTTGGGAAATACAGCAGTAGCTCAGGAGGTTGAGCGGGCTGTCCAGTAATCGGAAGGTTGCAGGTTTGATCCTGGCTCCAACCAGAGAATTCTGCTGTTGTGTCCTTGGGCAAGACACTTAACCCACCTTGCCTGCTAGTGGTGGTCGGAGGGACCGGTGGCACCAGTGTTCGGTAGGCCTTGCCTCTCTATCAGTGCATCCTAGGGCAGCTGTGCTGTGGCTACATTGTAGCTCATCCCCACCAGCATCTGAATGCATGTGTGAACGGGTGAATGACTGATTGTGTTATGAAGTGCCTTGGGGGGTTATAGAACAATAAGAAGGTGCTATACAAATATAGACCGTTTACATTTGTTACAGATGATTAAGTAAGTGGAATGGGATTTTCTGGATTAGGACTTTTGTTGGTTTTCCATCAATTTAAAATACAGTTGCACACATAATTTGCACAAAAGCATGACACTGCAACATTATAAATTTCATTTTAAACTGTCACGTGTTAGTTTTCTGCTTTCAAGTTGGATATACTTTTTATACAACAATAAAACCTACTGCAAACCTACAGACAAATGCAAAGACTTATAAATGATTTAACGTGCAAAACACAAGTCATCTTATTTCACTTGCAGCTCTTTAGGCTTATATCCTACAAACTCACACCACCGCATTATAATGCTATTATCTTCAGCTACAAGCAGGTACATTAGTGGAGTTTCATTTTGTTGTCATCAGCAACTATAGGCTTATGTAAACTACGACTGCTAAATTACTTGAATTAAAAACACGTGATTTAGAGCAAACAGCCACATTTTGCAGCAAGGCTCAATTATTTTTAAATGTTTACTTTCAAAACCAGTGAATAGTCGTTTTACCAATGACAGATGGACCTGTGACAACTGGAGTAACAGACAACTAACAGTTGGTTGTTAGCTGGTAATTTCTGACATGTGGATTTCGACAAAACAGTGCGTGCATAAGTAAAACTTGAATATATTACATACCATCAAGCGAACTAATTAAGTCTAATAGGAAATTTCACAAAGTTCTTCATAAGTTTTCCATTTCCTTGGAGCTAGCCGACCGAGCTAGCTGCAGCAAAAACACAAAGCAGCGATTTCCTCCATTTTCAAAGGGAAGTAGAAGACGTCTCAACATGAAGGCGCTGTGAGTCAGTATTCGAAGGTATTTAAGTTTGGAAAGGCTGTAAATGCTGCAAAAAGTCGAAATAAAGGTCGCTGAACACCACCTTGCCTATAAAATATTAAACTGAGATCTGTCTGGCCACAATTTGAAGAAACAATAATTCAAGCCGCCGTCGCTCGTTGATTGCGTCACGACGTCGGTCTCTTCTTCGCAACCAGCAAGTGCTGTGCCGAAATATGTGCCCCAGTCGTAAAAGTAATGAAAACATGTAAGTGTTTTCGTGTTAATTTTTGCATTTATTTTCACTACAGATCATTTATGTTATATTATGTCTTTTAAATTGGTGAGCTTAAAGCACGAAGGTGGCCATATCTTACAGAAAATAGATGTACTAATTTTAGAGTTTAATACTGTCCGTATTTATGTTGGACTGCTCTAACATAAATACTTCATCTATCGTTAGGTTTTGCGAAAAAGAGTGATTTGTAAACGTGTTTATTCAATCTCTATTTGTTATTTCAAAAGGTAGTTCTTAAAATGTATCTTCAATGTTGCCCTTCAACCCATTTAATTAATATTGCATTTACTTTAAAATTTTCATGTATCTGTTTAAACGGGTTTATCAAATTAAATCAGCTGTTGTGATCAAGTATTTACTCGTTTTCTAACTTGTATTTGTTTTTATTTTTATTTTTATTTTACTTATTCCAGTAGTTTTTTCATTCACTGCAATGCCCTTATTCTTCTTCTCTTTAATATTAATATCTGCAAGAGGACAAATAAAAACATGACAAAAGGAGGGTAAAATGTTCTCTAAATGAGATCAGTTCTGGCTTTTCGCCACTGGAGGGCGTTAATAACCCCTTGTAGCCCCTGTAGCTAGGGGAGTGTAGAGCAACGTGATGCAATGTGCAGCTCAGACAGATTCACTTGTTTTTCAGCTTGTGAGTGTGAGAGAAAATAGTTGCGTGGAACTTATGCTCATTCCGTGCATGATGGCAGCCCTGTAATTTATTGAATAACAGTGGAAAATGACACGCTGACTATCGTAGTCTTTTTCAGTAATCTTAGTGACCCCATCACTTAAAGGTGCATTATGTAGAAATTAAGTAAAAATGACATCCTGTAGTGAAATTTAGTTACTGCAACCACTTAAAACAAATCTGGAGCTTTTTGACAGTTGTCATCAAATTGCAATGTTAAAATTACAGCATTAGCTCACAGAAGGCACTGCACCCCCTCGCTAATAGTAAACAGTAGTCACGCCCCTCCTTCCTTTGTTTTGAAAGGAGAAAAACTGGCGATCCTGCAGCCAGCTGGATATGAAATATGTTTCGGTATAACCTTCCTTCCAAAATGATTGAAAAATTAGACTCTTTAGGGATTTTCTCACTGTAAATTTCTGACAATATTCTTACATTCTGCACCTTTAATTATGATACACATTGTATGCATATAAAGGACATATTACGTTTATAGAGATCATATTCATAAGACAATAAAATAACTGACAAAATACTTTTCAGAGGTAAAAACAAATCCCCATTTAAAAACAAACATATCAAAATGGGTAAAGACGCCTTGTAACCTTTTTCTACAGTCACTGCTTGTAACAAAAAACACTTTCAACGGCGCTCCCATCGAGGGGGATGACGTTTTTAGGCAAAACACCAAACTGGCCTCATTGGTAGTGATGGAACTCTGGCCCTTTTAATAGAACCGGGTCTTTTGGCTCGGTTCACTAAAATGAACCAATGTTTATTATTTAAATAACTTATTTTACTCAGCTTGAAGCACAGAGCTACAGTGGGATGCAAACGTTTGGGCAGCCTTGGTTCATGATTTTCCTGTATAAATCATTGGTTGTTACAATAAAATATTTCAGTTACATATGTCATATAGGAGACACACACAGTGATATTTGAGAAGTGACACAAAGTTTATAGGATTTACTGAATGTGTGCAATACATTTGGGCACTGTTGTCATTTTATTCATTCCAAAACATTTAGAACTAATTATTGGAACTCTAAATTGGTTTAGTAAACTCAGTGACCCTTGACCTCCATACACAGGCGAATCCTGTTATGAGAAAGAGTATTTAAGGGGCCAGTTGTAAGTTTCCCTCCTCTGAATATTTTCTGAAGAGTAGCAACATGGGGTCTCAAAACTACTCTCACTTGAAAACAAACATTGTTCACCATCATGGTTTAGGGGAAGGATACAGAAAGCTGTCTCAGAGGTTTCAGATGTCTGTTTCCACAGTGAGGACGATATTGAGGAAATGGAAGACCACAGGCACAGTTCAAGTTAAGGCTCCAAATGGCAGACCAAGAAAAATGTCAGATGAACAGAAGTGAAGAATGGTGAGAACAGTCAGAGTCAACCCACAGACCTGAACCAAAGACCTACAACATCATCTTGCTGCAGATGGAGTCACTGTGCATCGTTCAGCTATTTGGTACACTTTACACAAGGAGATGCTGTATGTGAGAGTGATGCAGAGGAAGCCTTTTCTCCTCCCACAGCACAAACAGACCTGCTTGAGGTATGCTGAAGCACATTTAGACAAGCCAGCTACATTGTGGAATAAGGTGCTGTGGACTGAGGAAACTAAAACTGAGTTATCTGGGCATAACAAGGGGCGTTATGCATAGAGGAAAACAAACACAGCAGTCCAAGGAAAACACCTGTTACCTACAGTAAAACATGGTGGTGGTTCCATCATGCTGTGGCCAGTGCAGGGACTGGGACTCTTGTTAAAGTTGAGGGGACACATGGATTCCTCTCAATATCAGCAGATTCTGGAGACTAATGTCCAGGAATCAGTGACAAAGCTGAAGCTGTGCTGGGGTTGGATCTTTCAACAAGACAATGTCCCTAGCACTGCTCACAATCTACTAAGGCATTTATGCAGAGGAATAAGTACAACATACTGGAACGGCCATCTCAGTCTCCAGACCTGAATAATTTTGAAAATCTGTGGTGTGAGTTAGAGCTTTCCATGCTCAGAAGCCATTAGATCTAAATGAACGAGAGAAGTTTTGTGAAGAAGAATGGGCTAAAATACCTTCAACCAGAACCCTGACTCTCATTGCCCAAACGTTCACACCCCACTGTACAAAAGCACATTTTAAATGACAAAAACAGACAAAGAGCTGAATCATCTTAAAACTATTAGCCACCTGGATATATTTTCTCTTTTGCATATTCCACATTCTGCCTTCAAGTTGTCATTGTAGTTAAAATGTGCCCAAATCTTGTTGAGTGTTCACTTATGGCAGTATATCTCAACCCTGGTCCTCAGTGCCACCCCCCCACCCCCCCCCCACCCTGCATGTTTGCCATGTCTCTGCTACAGCACACCTGGTTCACATATTTGCATTGCCTCCTTAAAATGACATCAAGTGTTGCAGAAGCCTGTTAATCACTCATTCATTTAAGTCAGGTGTGTGGCAGCAGAGAAACAGTGCTGGACAGGGGGGCGCCGAGGACCAAGGTTGAGAAACACTGACTTATGTGCTCACCTTTCTGTAGCACTGTTTCTTTTTTTTTACATTTGTTCCCACCATTATTTACAGGTCCCATCACACTATTGTAATAATTGTCCCAGGCATTTTGCACATGCCACCCCCCCTCCCTGCTTTCACATCGATCAGAGGCACGCTGTGTGTGTGTGTGTGTGTGTGTGTGTGTGTGTGTGTGTGTGTGTGTGTGTGTGTGTGTGTGTGTGTGTGTGTGTGTGTGTGTGTGTGTGTGTGTGTGTGTGTGTGTGTGTGTGTGTGTGTGTGTGAGTGTACATTATTACAATTTGTTAATGACCAGAGGTAGGATAGGAGGTGGCCTGCTCTGAGACATTTCCTTGGCGACTGAGACACTACTCGTTAGTTTCAAATGCCTTTATTCTCTGTGTCATTGTAAAATAAAGAAGTAGTCCCCACAATAATAACACAGACACTGTATCTTAATAAGTTTTAATTACAAAAAGAAAGTAAGACAAGAAAACAATAAATAAAACTGTTAATGAAAAAGTAAGGGATTTAGCACAGCTTCATAAGAGGGAATGTTACCTTTGTAATTACAAGCTTGAAAGCACCAGCAAACCTGAAGCATAGGCTTCCTCAATCAGATTCAGGCTAAAAAAGTGGAATACATTTCAAAACATCTGAGCTTAGTTACATTTGATTTTTGCAAATCTGGGTTATGCAGAAAATATCTCTGAAGGGGAAAAACAGTGACCAGTTTCACATAAAATCAGTGCTCTATTATTCTTTACTAGCACGATCAAAGACAAAGTGAAAATGTGTCCTTGGCTATAATGATGTTAAGTAGTTAAGAAGTTAATTTAAAAAAACACCAAACAGATGCACCCACACACATTTCACTTACAATTCTGCATTACCGGCACAGTCTGAGATCACTAAGGGTTTTCACAAAGGCACATTAGAAACATTTTATTTAAATGAAAATGAAATGAAATCATTTTCACTGCAAAGATCAGTTGTAGGAGCTTATGGAGACGTTAAAAACTGTCATAATGTACAGGTTCATGTATTTGTTTCAGGTCACTAGATTTATGGTGTACAGCCTCACAACATTAATGATGTTTCATGATAGTAGAAGAGTTCAAAGGTTATTAACAATTAAATTTAAATGTAGTAAGTTTTTGTATTTTACATTTCTGCACAAGCTGTCTGCAGCCGAAGTCCTGGTGCACAGTAGAAGACAGTAAAAAAGTGGTCGTTGGTAAAGATGGCTGAGGTGCAGCAGACAGGTGCAGTTTTCAACTTGTGGCCTTAAAAAACAGACAATCTAATTATGAAGCTTCTTCGACATGAAAAAAACAACAAATTTCCATATTAATTGACAGTGGTTAAATTTAGACACTACTAGATGATGCTACCTGTCAAAGGGTGCTGTTGATTGCTGGAGTGTGGATTGTTTTTGAGACCGCAGCCCCGCTCCTGCCTCCTGTAGTCAGAACCTGAAGCTGCAGTTGGTATGTGCTGTCTGCCTGAAGACCACTGACTGTCACAGAGCGCTCAGACTGTGGAGGACAGATAATGCATAAATAAAAACGTTAAATTTTATAAAAACACTAAGGACTCACTAAGGATGCATTTTAATATCAATGTCATTGTAGCTCAGGGACAAACTAAAACCAATCATCTGTTTGCTGCATCAGAAATTTCCTACCTTGTCTTGAGTTCTAAATTGTGTCATTATTCATCATCATCATCATTTTGTTTATAAAGCGCATTTAAAATCTAGCACGAGCGCTGACCAAAGTGCTTCCCAGGCAGATAGAGAAAAGTAAAAGCCATCAAACAAAAATAAAGCATAAAGACACAGATAACACATTAAAATGAAAGAAATAATACAAATCACAAACTAAAAACCAATCCATAGAAGTGAATCTTTAAACGCGATTTAAAAACTGCCAGAGAAGGAGCCTGCCTTACACCAAGAGGCAGTGTATTCCACAGCTGGGGGAGGCATAGATAAATGCTCGCTCTCCCCGCAATTTATAGCACATCCTGGGAGTGCAGAAGAGGAGGTGATCTACTGACCTCAATAAACGCTTCGGAGCATAGGGGTGAGCGGACCGGAAATATATACAGGTGCTAGGTCTTTTAAAGCTTTGAACCCAAAGGTCAGAAGCTTAAATTGCACCCAGAACACAACCGGAAGCCAATGTAGATGTTCCAGGACTGGAGTAATGTGGCTACGTCAGTTTATTTTGTCAGGAACCTAGCGGCTGCATTCTGGACGACCTAAAGACGATTTAGAGCTGAGCTTGAAGCTCCAAAAATGAGGGCATTTGCATAGTCTAAACAAGAGGTTATAAAAGCGTGTAAAACCGATTCTAAATGCCGATGCTTTAAAAATGGTCTAAGACGAGCCAGACGACGTAGCTCATAAAAGCAAGACTTCACAACTGAGTTTATCTGAGGAACCATCAATAGGTTGACATTAGGACTGGGCGATATGACGATTTTAGACCGTTTTACGATCTACACATCTGACGGTCTGTCATTTTTAAGAGACCTTTTTATCACGATTCACAGCTCTGCTGTTGAAATTCTGCCTCTGAATGAAAAGGGAACTGACCTCAGGCGAATGACACGCCTTTGTTTGACCCTTAACCAATCAGAGTGAGTCATAGTAATATATTAGTGCCCCGCTTGTTTTCACCTGCGTGTGAACAAACATGGCTTTGGCCGCGGCTGAGAGTGACAACGAGGTTTTCGTTCCGAAGAGGAACACCTCGTCCATTATATGGAACTGATTTGGTTTTTCACCAGATGACAAAGAGCAGCGAAACGTCATTTGCAAGGAGAGCGTCAAGGCAAGTGATGGTGTTGCGAGTCCCACATGCCAAAGACAGTGACAAGTACGGGGTCAAAAGGTGAGCCACACTGGACTGGCTTGTGCGAGCAAAATCAGCCAGTCGACAGGAGCTGGGCTGCAGGTCAAAAAACTGTGGTCAGAAACAAGGGTCACTCAAGGGTCACAGGGACAAGAGGACAGAACTGGGCGAAGGGTCAGGAGACTGACCCCACCTCTTTGCCCCACCCCTGGCTTGGAAAGATGGGATTGGAGGAGAACAGAGTGAAGACAAGCCCATCAGATCCAGAAGCCCTCTCGGGAACATTGGAGAGAAACTGAAGAATGCTGCAAAAGATGATGTAATGACCTGTGTTAAGAAGAATGCTGCATGTAGTGAAAATGACACCAAATGTTTTGTGTTGAGCTACAAAGTGTGTATCTGGTAAATGACCCCATGACCTTAAGCTGGTCCAGGAAGGGTATATAAGAACAGCTCTGAACAGCAGAGAGAGAGATTGGGAGATTCGACAGCAGCTGGGGCAGAGGACAGAAGAGACAGAGCAGATTTGGTGGGGTCATCCCCCGTCCAAACTTGGATGGGGGATGACAGAGAAGACTCTTGGAAGAAGAGAGAGGGTTGAGTTCTTGGGGAGATTCTGAGAAGACAGGAGCTAGTGTAAACTAACTCTTATTTAATCATTTTGAACTAATTCCTCCGTGGGGGATAGCAATTGTTTTTTCATCTACCCATTTTTGTATTTTGATTTTGTAATAAACCTTTTTTGAAAAAGAAACATAATCCTGATTCTTTCAGGTTTTCTCTAAAGCTTCACGTTTGGGGCCCTGGCCATAAATTGCACAGAGGTAAGCATATCGATGATCGGTTTCTGAATTATCGGGACTTACTTTGCAGTTTATAATAGAATAATATAAAGAAACCTTAAGATAAGGGAAGTTTTAACTTCCCCCTCCTTGCGAGTAACGAGTTGTCTTAAGGGCGATAAAAGCAAAATATTCGAGGTTATTTTGGCTCTGATTGCAGGTTGAAAAAGTCTCTAATCAGCTGGAAGGTTGGATTAATAAATAAATTGATAAACTTATGATAGCCTGATCAACTAGCATAAATCATTTTATAGTTACCAACCTCCCACATAAGCTGTTAGAGGCGCAATTAATTCCGGGTAACCCAAACAATTGCTGAGAGGCTTGGCTTGCCTCCAGACTTCTCTCTAGTATCTTAACCAAAAGGTAACGAGTTTAAAAGAAGTGTAGTACTCTGGGGCTGGCTATTCGTGCAAGTCATTTCACCTTTAAAATAAAAGACAAGATTCTAATTAGATGGTCCAATCCAGGATCTAGTACAATTATACTCGCCGACATCCCCTCGAACCCTGATGGATGCACCGTCTCATAAGTTCTAATGGAACTGGGTTTTAAAGGAACCGGTAAATGGGACGGGCACGCGACAATGGCAACACCACAAACTTGTTTAATCACTTGAAAAGAAGGCACCCCAAACAGTACAGTGAGAGCCAGCTGGCAGCTAAAGCTAAAAAGCCTGCGACTGCAGCGGCTAGTGCTTCTTCCAGGCAGCAAACGCTAACAGAAACACTCACAAAACTCACTCCTTACGACAGAGACAGCAGACGATGGAACAGCGTGACAGATGCAGTGACGTACCACTTGGTTAAAGATTTGTGTCCCGTGCGAACAGTAGGAACATGATAAAAACATTGGATCCGCGCTACGAGTTTTCCAGCCGCAAGTATTTTTCGAACACTGCCATTCCATGCATGTACGCTGAATGCAAAGTGAGAGTTGCAGAAAATATTCAGAATGCACAGTTATTTGCTACCACAAGCGATCTCTGGTCCAGCCGCACATCAGAGCCGTATTTGAGCTCAACTATCCACTACATGAGCAACTGGGAGCTACATAGTATTTTGAACAAGTTAATGTTTGCACAATACGTTTGCAATTGACATGTTTGCACTTTAAATATGTTTATGATTTTAATTTATGTTAAGTTACTTGAAAAACGAGAAAAACTGATTTTTGTAATTGTTTCTCTCAGGGCTTTTATCATCTCTGGTGTGAGTTTAAAATATAAGTGTGTTAGCACTGTGTTGATTATTCCTAATATGAATAAATGTTTATTTATTCAATGTTTCTCTTCTTTAATACGCAATTGAAGTTATGCTATTCGTGGATAAAAAAAATCGTGATAAAATCTAAATCGTGATAAAATATTTGAAAAATCGTGATATTCTATTTTTGCCATATCGCCCAGCCCTAGTCGACATCTAATTTTACCCTTCAGAATTTCAGAATTACCCTCCACAAAGAGGGCAGCTTTGCAAAAAAAAAAAAAAACACTTCAGACAGATATGCACACAGACTTCATACATTACACAACATAAGTATCCACTAGGTGGGGAGGTAGGGTTGGGACTCTCCTCACTTCAGTGCGTGCAGCCGCATGGAGCAGCGCTCGTCACCTCCGTTTGGACAGGGGAGGGAGATAATGGGTTAGAGAGCACAGTGACTCCTAGATACGGTTCCACGGCCTTCACTGGTCACAGTCCCGCCCAGGCTGGGATAGGGAGAAAGAGTTTCCATAGCGACGACAACATTCCACATTTCTTCTGAGGAGGGTGTTATCACTTCAGCCTCACAGGCTCCAAGGGCAGATTCAGATAAAAATTGTTTTGGGGACAGACAGACATAATTTCCTCTCTGCCTTAGTGTTATGTTGGTCTACAACCCCTCTAGATCCAATAATGGTGTAATTAATCAATCCTATCATTGAAAAAATTTTGTCAATCATGTTGAGAGACCAACTGACCAGATCCATTTTTAATAATTTCCAGTTTCCAGAAAAAATGCAGAAAGCACTGTGCAAAGAGCCTTGGGATAAGAAGGGAGGGAGAGGAGAAAAAAGCATCTGTACTCTCCAAGAGCCGGAAGCAGTCAAGAAATGTGGTAGCTGACATCCATCCATCCATCCATCCATCCATCCATCCATCCATCCATCCATCCATCCATCCATCCATCCATCCATCCATCCATCCATCCATCCATCCATCCATCCATCCATCCATCCATCCATCCATCCATCCATCCATCCATCCATCCATCCATCCATCCATCCATCCATCCATCCATCCATCCATCCATCCATCCATCCATCCATCCATCCATCCATCCATCCATCCATCCATCCATCCATCCATCCATCCATCCATCCATCCATCCATCCATCCATCCATCCATCCATCCATCCATCCATCCATCCATCCATCCATCCATCCATCCATCCATCCATCCATCCATCCATCCATCCATCCATCCATCCATCCATCCATCCATCCATCCATCCATCCATCCATCCATCCATCCATCCATCCATCCATCCATCCATCCATCCATCCATCCATCCATCCATCCATCCATCCATCCATCCATCCATCCATCCATCCATCCATCCATCCATCCATCCATCCATCCATCCATCCATCCATCCATCCATCCATCCATCCATCCATCCATCCATCCATCCATCTATCTATCTTGCTAGCTATCTATCTATCTATCTATCTTGCTAGCTATCTACATCTGTGGTCCTTATGGGGGCATAGGCCACTAATCAGCTTCCTCCAGGCATCTCGGTTCTGGGCTAGTCTCTCCAGCTGTCCCCATGTCTTATGCTTGACATCTGTCTCCACATCACGACGCCATGTATTTCTAGGCCGCCCCCTTTTCCTCTTCCCTTGGGGGTTCAATGTGAGGGCTTGTCTGGTGATGTTGGAAGCAGGCTTGTAAAGGGTGTGACCAGTTCGTCAGCATCTCTGAAGGTTGTCCTCCACAACGGGCTGTTGCCTGGTTCTTTTCCACAGCTCTTCATTGCTGATTTTCACTGGCCAGTGGATCTTGAGGAGATCCTGAGGCAAGTGTTGATGAAGACTTGGGTTTTCTTCATACTGGTAATGGTTGTTCTCCAGGTCATGGCCCCATACAGTAAAACTGGCTTCACAATGGTGTTGAAGACTCTGATCTTGGTGTTGGTACTTAGTTCACTAGATCCCCAGATGTTCTTCAGCTGCTGGAAGGCTGCCCTCACTTTACCTATGCAGATTCTGACATCTGCATCCATTCCTCCATGCTTGTCCAGGATGCTGGATTCCATGCAAGCTAAAAATTTTGGTCATGGGTAGAAGGTATATTGAAAAAAGAAGCAGCCCAAGGACAGAGCCATGCGGCACACTCCATGGCAGAAGGTGAGAGGTAGATGTACAGTCCCCAAGCCAGACACTAATTGAACAGTTAGATAGATAAGAACAAAACAAGGGCAGTCACCATCACCCCCACCCACAACCTGAGCCGTTGTAAAAGAAGGCCATGATCTACAGTATCAAAAGCAGCAGATAGGTCCAATTAAATACAGCAGCACCCGAGGCCCAGAATCATATGCAACTAAAATATCATTAAGTACCATAATCATGTCAGATTCAGTACTGTGTTGTGGCCTAAAAGCAGACAGAAAAACATCCAACAGTGAGTTTCTGTCCTTGTGTGCATATAGCTGCGCATAAATTATTAGGGCTAAACGTTCAATTGTTTTTGGACTGAAATTACGATTTCAAACAACACAATCACATGATCGTCAAAGCTGCAGTTTTTTTTGTAGCACTCCTGACTGACCCAGGATCTGTTGTGTCAACTATTTTAGACAACCGGGGTTTTCCCATTTGTTATGGCGGCAGCCAAGAGCGTGGGGGAGAGGCAGGGCGGATACCGGTACTGCAGCTGAGCCCAGTTCTTAAGCTGACAGAGCTGTACATTAGAGTTTTTTCCTGTTTTTACCTCACATAGCTCTGCTACTACAGCAGATATTAAATGTCTGCCTCTGCCACGAATTATCTGTTTGTCTCTCAGCACTGAGTGACAGAGAGGGAGAGGCTGATTCTCCAGCAGTGGAACAGGATTTACCATAATGACACCAAGTAGACTTGAAAGGGAAACTTCTCTTATTTTAAAAAACACTGTTTATGAAAACATGTCGGACATTACCAACATTTTTAAATGTTAAAAACTTAAAATTGTTGAACATATTGACTGACCTGCTTCCTCTCTTTAGTTGCCAAAACAAAATAAACTTCCTGAAAACCACAAACTGCAGACTGTCTGAAAGTTTGCATGGAGTCTGTGACTGATCTGCTGCAGCCTCCAGGAGCACCTCTTCTGAGCATTTTATCTGATCTGCACATCTTTTATAATAGAGAGGTAAGATAATGTCTTCTTATTGTAACATCAGTGCAGAACTAAAACACCAGACACTATATTTTGTTGCCTTGACAGAATGGGGAATTTACACCCTTTGCTGGCAAAAACTGGTTTCAAACAGCATTTTGAAAAGATGGGAAGATGGGGATTTGCTGCCATCCAGTGTCTAAAACTGGTACTACACTTTTGTTCTTTGCAGCCGTTTAGAAGAAAATGTTTATTCTTTTTATCTTAATGAAGTTGTAAAAAATCTTAATCTTTCTTTTTGTTTTCTTGGGAATTTTAATATTAAGGATGATAAAGAGGAGGAAAAGAAGCAGATGAAGGAACTGGATTTATACAGTTAATAGAGTTAATTAGTAGAAACACTTCCTCTAAATTAGTGCTTCACAAACTGGGGTCCCCACAATTGTGTCTATACTGAGGTTGTGAGATTACCAAGATTATATTAGTAATAGATTAAAAAGAATATATTCCCTATATACATATATAAATATATATATAAATATAAATATACATTTATATATATATATATATATATATATATATATATATATATATATATATATATATATATATATATATATATATATAAAGCAAAAAAATTGAAAGCTTTACATTTTCTCACATTATACAAAATGGGAGAAAATGTATAGCTTTTCATTTTTATGGTATGTTTTATATGATGATATGGTGAATAATGCGTTTAACCTTGATTTGAAGAAAACCATGAATCAAACTGAAATTGCAATTTCTCCTAGAAAATTTGCAATTCAGTCTTTTCCTGATATTGTTCAGCCCTAATAATTATACAACTAATGAGTCAGGATTTAGATTTTAAAAACAAGAAATCCCTGGGCACATACATACTTATAAATGTCAACGTCTTTGCATCTTACACATCATTTGGCATTTCTTATAATATCATAACTAGATAAAAGGTGCTGATGTGTAATCATATTGCTATTTCTTGTATTTTTTTTAAAAAAGAGGTAAGAAAAAGCATTTTTACAATAAAATGTCACACTGGGACAAACAAATGCATCATTCCTCGTGTATCTCTATCTTACTGGTGAGACTGTCTGCGTCTGAGAGATTCGTGCATCATCTCTCGCTCTGCTGAGTTCGGACTGCAGGGTCCAAGTGAACTGAAAGCCTTCAACAGCAGCTGAGTCCAGCGCATGATGGGTCATCTTCCAGCGAAACATAGTGACCAGGGTGTCATTGACTAGTTGAAAGTCAGCAGTCAGTCGTTCTGGGCGCAGTATCACCTTCCCACTGGACAGGGGTCGCTCTGATACAAAAAAAAAAATCCCCAAATGTCTTTCACTTACAACATAATATTCTCCCTGGAATTTGAATATATTGACACTTGTTCAAAAATGACTGTCAAAGTTATTTTAGTTGTAATGTTTAAATAAGAAACCAGTAAGCACTAACTGTACATCTGTGTTTGATTACCTGTACTTTCAGTTTTGCAGGCCAAAGCTTTGACTCCTCTGACCCTGATGGAGGAGCAAGCTGGGGTGGTAACCCAGGCAACAGCCTCTGACCTGGGATCAGCCTTAGTTGCCACTGTGACCCTGTACTTACAGGCAAACTGCAGGCCTTTGATGATGTGATGAGTGCTCTTCAGAGAGAGAGAAAAATAAAACAATTTCAAGCTAAAATATCAGAAAAGTCTTGCTTCCTGTTGAAGCATTTTTTAAAACTGACGTCTTCCAAAGCTGCTTTAAATGTGCACAGTACCTCCAGCCATTGTCTCAGCACCTGTCTAACGAAAGCTCTTGTTAGCTCCATGTTAAAATAAACATGAAAGTCTCTGGCAGCCTTTAAGCTGGCAGCCTGAAATGGCCACAAACGCTGTAACGGTTTTAAAAAGCCTGAAACCGTGTTCTGTAAACTCTGCAAATTGCACACAGCAGTTTTATGTGACATGTCTTGGATGAAAGGTAACCACTGGTGCAACACTGGCTGAGAGGCGAGTCCAGTTTTAGCACAAACGGTTTGTCTTTGCTGCAGCTTTACTTGATTTCAGATTTGACCCTAGTAGGTAACGCTGATCTAGGGCGCTAACATTTTTTTCTGACAAAAAAGTGATCAATTGGATGCAACTGTGCTAACTCCAGTAAAACAGAACTGTAAAATGTGTCTGTTGAGCCTGTTTTATCTTTAAAGCAGCAATCCAGAGTTTTCCCTCTTTTTAGGAATTTTGTAGGATTTTTTTAAACCTGTAAAAGCGATAGTCTTACCTTGTACTGTGATATATAATAAAGGCAATACATCTTGTTTTTGGGCTAAGCTTGTCCCTCATCCCAGAGAGCCCTGTGCAATTTGAACTGAGAAATGCGGCTGTAGAAATCGGCTTACGTACAGATTTGAGGATGTACCTGATGCAGAGATGGCATCAGTAAGTCTTTTAAATACATTTGTATCAATAGCATAACGTGAGTATTATAAAGGTCAAAATCAATAGGTATTATCTCTGTTAGCCGACTAACACGAACACGAGGCATTGCTTCCAGCCGTAATCATGGAAATAGGCAGGACTTAGGGTGCAATACATTTTTTACACCTCTAGATGGTGTCCTTAGAGAAAAAAACTCCACATTTCTGCTTTAAGCTACACTTGTTTCATAATGGGGCATAAAATTAAAACTATTGCAAAGACATTTGAAAAAATGATTTCAGACCATTTTCTTACTGAACACATGCACACAGAGATGAATTTCAGCCTGGGAGTTCACAGTTACGCTCAGAGTGACAGCAGACAGACACAGAGATGGTTGCAGAAATTTGAACACAAAATTTCAGCTGGCTCTGAACTGTGAGGATGAAATCCGATCTCTTGTCTACATAAATGCACTCAGACACAGAAGTAACAGAGAAATCCACCATTCCATGCATACACAGATAATGTAAGTATACCTGCACCACTGTTGTTCCCTCTGTGTTTGTAAGATTTGTGCTGCAGGTATGAGGATGCCACTGCAGTATGTATGAACCTCTGTTTTTCTGTCTGGCTGTAAAAAAACAAAACAAAATATTTGTTGGAACCAAAAACTATTTCAATAGAATTATTTAGAGCCTCATTCAGTCCAGAAATAACAATTATTGTGATAAAAGTAGTCAATGAGTTTTCTACATTATTTATAAACTCATTCACATCCAATGACGAGTAAAGTCGTCATTTGCATTTTTTTACGGTGTGGGCATCGGAACGAGCTCCCGCACCGTGAGAACAAACATCTCAGCTCTAAAGCCGATCTTCATCCGCATACGTCACACGTCACATGATCAGGAAACAGAACATCCATGTGTTAGGAGATCGTTTTGGGCCGCTACTGTAAAAAAAAGTAAGGCGTGAACCGGAAAAGCTTCTGCGGATCACAATTCAACAACAGATTATGAAAGAACGGATAACGCTCGAAACGCACGGCTTCTTCCTGATGTAAGAGGTGAGTCTCCTCTTTGTTTTGGTTGTTTTGGCGTCAACATCATCCTAGTGTGCAACGTTCTGTGACTCTTAAAAAAAACTGTAAAAATGGTGAGAAACGCTGGCAGCGAATGAGTTAAAGGTTCCATATCATGAAAAATCCACTTTTTTGAGCTTTTTCCCATGTGATCCTGTCATTTCCCCATTAAAAATACCCCCAAACCCTTTTTGGCTGCATTCATGCATTTTACAGCCTCATCTTCAGTTTTTTCTAATTTAATTTTAGGTCTGCATACAGGAGAAAGTAGCTCAAGTGCGTCATTAGGCCCTGCTCCTCCCATTGAAGCTAGTCTCAGATCTGGAACGCGTCTCCCCTGGAAGTAGGTTACTAACGCCCACTTTCTCAGAGTTGCGAGGCATAGAGGGCTTGATTTCATGCCGCAGTTGAGAATGTTACCTTCGAGTGATTTAAACCTCCAGAGTGGATATTTTGACAAATTCTGCACTGTGGTCAAAACACTGCTTTAAAACCATGCGTCATGTCCAGAGACTTGGTAGCCCAGTGGTTAGAGTACCTACCTGGCATACATCTCTATAGTGCCAACGCTAATATTTGATCATACCGTACACTGTGCCTGTCTTTGCTCTCAAAGATTTAAGTGTCTAAAGCTCACCACGATAAGGCCACTTCCAGAACACCTTCACCTGCAGCTGGTTGTCATGGTAATGAGGGGCAGCGACCTCGAGCAGCAGGGTTGCAGAGGTGATGGGATTCAGGGGAGAATCAGGGTGAGTCGGAGAGGAAGGTGAAGAGGGGAGTGACGATGAAGATGAGGAAGAGGGAAGCTCATTGGAGAAGTCCTCGTCTTTGGTGGTGGAAAAGTAAAAAAAGAAAAGGGGAAAGAATAGTTTGAATATGTTTTACAGCTTTATAGATCTAAAGTCTTTCACTGAAACAAAAAACATCATTACTCTTAATAAATGCATTCTCTTGCATATTGAAACTCCATTTTTTTTTGCTCCAGGATAAAAATAAAAGGCTGCAGGAGACCAGATCTGGTTTACTCTAGAAACGCTGATTGGTTCTAAATGACCATCATCAAACCCGAGTGGCAGGTCGATGCATGGTCTGTGTCAAACTGTAATACTTCTGAATTATGCATGCTAGTATGTTCCATATAAAGTTGTTGCTCTGTGGTTTGGTAATTGAGCTGCAGCTGGCTGTAACCCTCCATTGGGCCGACCTGAAGGTCACCTATAAATACTGCTGCTGCTTGGACGATCATTAAGTAGCTCTCCACCGTACTTCATGTTTCAGTGCAGCTGCATGTCAGAAAAAATACGCTGACAGTCAGCAAAACTCAGCAGCTCTGAGCTAACAGGAAAAGTGTTAAGGTGATAACCAAGGGCTTTTTGAACAACATCCGATAACATCAGAACCAGGGAAGGACAGATTCTTCTTTTTTGGGTCGGAGTCGTTGCTGAAACTGTTGTGCACACAGGATAGTGGATGTATCTAATCCAGGGGTGTCAAACATGCGGCCCGTGGGCCGGATCCGGCCCGCGAGATCGTTGTGTAAACTTTATTTACATACTTTACAATGTAGAGTGAAAATAAACTTATCTTTGTGAGCAAGTTTCCTCTGTAATGAGTATAAATAAAACAAAGCTGCGCTCAAGGCTCACACAAGAACTTGAATCACATCCTGAAGTTGGCTGCCACTCAGGATGTGACTTCTGATATTGATGTGCTGGTGAAAGCTAAACGATGTTAAGTAAAATGAGTCAAATATACTTTAAGTGCTGCATGGAACTGATCTAGCCATGTGATCTGTAAGCTCTTTGAATCACTAAGGAATGGTTCTGGCCTCCCTTCACTGGCTTCCGGTTTGCTATCGCTCACAATTCAAAATCCTCGTCTTTGTTTATCATTTCTTCCAGGATGGTGCTCCCCCCTATCTAGCCACACCCCTGAACAGATATTCCCCATCACGCGCTCTGCGATCCTCTGACCAAGGCCTGCTCGCTGTCCCTCGTTCTAGGTGTCGTACTCGCGGATTTACCGGTCCGGCCCACTTGGGACTAGATTTCCCTCAATGTGGCCCCTGAGCTAAAATGAGTTTGACACCCCTGATCTAATCCAAACGTCTTCTACAGCCACTCTCTAAGCAACAGATCTTGTGTTGGAGATTCACTCACACAGCTGGAAATGGGAGGGAGTAAAGGAGCACACGAGAGGCAGAGCATGATGCAGAAAGAGCAGTACAACACATCCTTACCCTTTTAATATTAATACCACATGTGTGTTGATGTTTCCACAATAAGAGAATCAGGAATGCAACTTACTGGTCATCAGGAAAAGAGACTAAAGCTGCAACTTTAGCTAAACTCACTCTCTGTAAAGTCACTCATCCAGAAATGCTCCAAGACTAGTAAATTTTATGAAAAATAACTTTAGTTATTCATTTGATTAGATCACATGAACACAAACTGAACACCAGCAGGTGGTACAGCTCAGTCAGCTCAACACAATCCACCTATTTGCTTCTCCTTGTTACAGACTCAAGTATTTATGGAAAGGATGAAAACAATAAAAACTAAAATATGAGCTAAGAACATATTAAAAAAAGATACTTGTTTGTTTAAAATGCACAAATACATTTTTGAATGATTTATTGCTAATAATTTAGAAGAAAATGTTTCAAATTAAAAGATAAAGTTTGCAATTAATAAAATAGTTTGAAAGCTAAATTAAAACAAAGACCTGAGAATATCCCAAACATTCTTGAATTGAAGTCATCAGTAAATTGGATCAATTTGTTAAATATTCACAATATTTCACCAGACCAACTGAGAGCTTTACATTCATGATACCAGTTTGTTTTCGTTACCTGCATGAGCGATCGTAGTGAAAACAAGTTGTGATCTGTGACTCTTCAGTCTCTTTTGACCCCAGTAGGCCACCGTCTGGATGGACAGGATGTAGGAAGTAGCAGGCAGCAGGCCCTCCAACCACAGCTCACTCTGTGCCTGTATGAACCACACATTATAAAGAAACTAAAATATTTATTTATATATTCCAGCTCGGTGGCCCAGTGGTAGAGTGGGACTGGGAGATCAGGGTTCAAATCCTGGTCGGGTCATGCCAAAGTCCTTAACAACGGGATCCAATGTCTCCCTGCTTGACACTCAGCTTTAAGGGGGTGGATTGGGGGGTTAAACCACCAAATAGTTCCCGAGTGCAGCCACAGTTACAGCTCACCGCTCCACCCCACGGGGATGGGTCAAATCCAGTGTTTGATGATGAATAATGGGACTTTATTACTGATGTTTTTCAACGTTTCTTGCCTTTACCACTGTTGCGTCATACTAGGAGATGCTAAAAAGATCCTTTTAACTGTTTGTGTTCCTTATTTCTACTCTAGGATTCCTATATGCTACATCAGTCGTATTTGAACCAACAATCTGGAGTTCGTTGTCATTTGTGAGCAACAGTCTGGACCTGTTCTGCATTTTACCCATCAGGTTCACTGACAGCTCATTAGCAGGCTCTCAGTCAATCAGCTTTGTCTGTATGCGGATCTGAACCAGTCACAACAAAGAGATGCTTGGACGATATGTGTGTGTACGTGTGTGTGTGTGTGCTTCATGTACAGTTGGGATTTAAACAAGAGACAAAGCAAGGTGACCTTCAGAAGAAACAGGACTGAAGGATATCCATTACCTTCAACATAGACAAAGCACATGGCCTGCACAACTGTCCACGCACAAAGCAAAAGTCTGGATTTCTATTCTGGTGCATAATGCCAGTAGACATCATAAGTAAAAAATAACATGTATATTTATAAGCACTGATTCTGGCTCTTTTGCATTTAACTATTTCCTCCAAATCCCTCCTTTACCATCAGATTTATTCACAACTTGTCCCCCAAGTCCTGCAAAAATCTCTGATTGACAGAATACATTTTTATACAGTCCAGGAATGAATTATTGTGTAGTGGCTATTTGAGCTTTCCATGACACATAAGCCATTTTTAACAGTCATGCCATGCTATTCCTTCATACCTGTTGTGATGTTGCTGTTTGTGTCTCTATGCAGCTGCTAGAAGGAAACCGGGGGGGTGGTCTCATTTAAATTCCAGACCTCCCAGCCATGCAGAACACAGGACCAGGCTACAGATAAATGGCTCCACCAGGCGCAGTCTGGGATCGCCATCACTACCTAGGATAGCTGGGTCCAGAGTGTCTCTGCGTGTGACCTAAATAAACTCAGATCAATTCATCTTTTAATTCAAGTCAATAATCAGCCCAAGAGGATCTAAATCAGCAGAAACCACTTTAACGAGTCATTAATTTACCTCTCTGTTGGTGAAACGCATAAAAAGGTTCAGTTAACGTTGTTTAGGATGAGTATGGGTATGTTGGAGCCGGACTTTGCTTCACTGCAAATGTTTGCATCACACCAGGATCAGTAGATCCTTCTGTGCAAAGTCCAGCCACTGGGTAAAATATCGTTTGTTAAATTGAGCAACAATAAGACAGCAGTGATTTATTTAGAGATGAGTTCGTATCCTAAATCTCCTCACAACACATGAAAATGTGCAGACAGCTATAGTTTCACCACCATTTGAATATCTTTTTGCTGGTATTGATTTTGTATTTAAAACCCCGAGATTAGTGTTAAACTCAATACTAATGCCCACATGCTGCCCTGAGTGGCATGTGTCAGAACAAGCCCAGATGCTTTGAGTTAAATTTCTTATCCAAATGCAGGAAAGCCACTTCTCTCTTCTGTCAGTCGTCAGAAGTCATTTCAGAGCAGCGATGTCAAAAAGGCATGCTGTCACAGCACTTTAACCAAGTTATGACCCATTAAGTTCACGGTGAAGCTGTCCTCAGATGATTTTGTCTTTTTTTAAATCAACAAAGAGCAGACGCAAAAAGAATGCAGAGGACTTTTGTAATTGGAGCTTTTGGAAAACAATAATTTCTGCAAAAATATTTCTAAATATCCTTGAACTTACAATCATAAAACCACAGTCTGAAAGGCCGAATTATCTATAGACAGCATTTTAATCAACTTCTGCGGTATGTGGAGCATGAATACATTTTCTCCCCCTGTGGCTCATTTTTTGCTCATTATTTAAATCCACATCCTGTATCATGATGTCAGAATAGCTCCTTTGTGTCTCCGTCCGAATGTCTTTTCTGAGATTTCTGTTTTATTGGCCACACGGGCAAAAGCAGGACACTGCTGGAGTTGACGAATTACTTCATGACAAATAATAAAAAATAGCGAGGAAGTGTTAAATGTGAGATCCATATGTACCTGTGAGTAAGGGAGTACAGCCCAGTAGGACTCCCTTACAGCTGGGAAGGTTTCAATGTAAAAATGAAAAAATAAATAAAATATAAAAAAACAATGCATTGATTTGCAAAACTGAGCTTTTTGATATATTTTATATTTATATACATTTTTCATATTTTTACAAATATTAAATGCCAAAAGCCAAAAAGTCAGACGACAGATTGTTTTTGAGTTGTGTCGTGTTCCAGATTTATACTGACTAGGGCTGCAACAAACGATTATTTGGATAATCGATGAATCGGATGGGGTCTCGACACGATTAATCGATTAATCGGATTACATGGGGAAATTTTTAAAAACTGCTAGGGAGACATTTTTTCTCTCCTTCCTTCACTTTATTAAACACAACGTTATTAGAAAACAGTTCAATAGCAGAAAAACAACATGCTATCACCTAAAATGTCTTGCAGCTTCAGATAAGTTGCATTGCAATGCAAAAATGTAAGCATATCCACATGCATAGCAAGTAAGGAAGTGTTGACTCCACCCAGCATCTTCCATGTGTGCCACGCGGTTCGCCAGACAACACCTCTTTCTGCCTCATTTTTCAAAAAATGAAAAATCAGAAATGAAGCCTTCAGAATACTTTGGAAGGGGGTGAGCAAGGGAGGATGAGACCCTAAGCTACACCTATCTGTGACCTAAAATGCTTGGTCCAAGTGTTACAGCTGCTGCTGTTTTGTCCCAGAAAACTGACTCTGCAGAGGACAATCAGTGCATTGCCTCCTCCTCCTCCTACCTGCACAGCTGCACTCACTTGGGCTGATCACCTCCTGAGTGGCATAAAAGGCAGCGCTGCCAGGAGGAAGGGAGAGACTGGATCTGTGCCAGTTCTCTCATGTGCTCCAATTGTGTTTTAATGGCTTTTAGTTGTTGTAAGCTTGGTGAAGCTCAACTTTTAGAGGTTTTTAAACAGACGAGGGACCAGCGTGCTGGTTTCCTCTTGGCTCCCAAACTCGTGTATAGTCAGTGGACAGTGTGTGTGTTTGGGAGCATTCGGATGTCTGTTTTAAACGTAAACCCTTGGCCATTTTAACAATGTGTTTTAAGTACTTTTAGATGATACGTCCCCAACAGGTGGTGTTAAAATGTGAAGGAGGGGGCAACATAAGAAATGGGCAGTGGAGTTAAAATGGGTTTAATTGTTATAAAAGGTTAAAAAATACAAGTGCAAACAGATGGCGAGCATTATTAAGATAATGCAAAACAAAAAAAAACTCTTAAGGTTAACATTAAAAGAGCAGTTACCAACATTAGAAACACCTGGTTAAAACTTATTAAAAGTTTCACCAAAACAGAAGGTGTTTCAAAATCTACTAAGTTGATAAGTTTTAAAACAATCTATTGACATAAAACACCTGGTTAAAACTTATGTTAAAAGTTTTGCCAGAACAGAAGGTGTTTTAAAACAAGTCAATAAAATTGTATCACAGAGTTAACCTTTAAAACGATCCCTCTGGATCACTCAGAGTTAAAACTATAAAAGTTAAAACTCTTCAACTCGAAGGGGTTGAAAACAAAACGAGGCCTGGAGGACAGCAGAACCCCTGCACTGCTGCCACCCAGACTGCTGAAGGCACAGCCTTTTTATCCCAGGTGTTGGTCATCAGCAGGATTCAGCTCAGCTGTGCTCCTCAGCAGCCTGGAAGAGAGGAGGAGGACGGGCGGTGTCAGGTTGATCACCAGGACTGGGTGATCCTGGCTCCTGCATCCCAATGGCCAGGCTGGTAGCCATCACACCCCCACACATAAAAGGAAAGAAAAAGGATAAAAGTTAGAAAAACACACAATACCAACTTTTAAAACTTTATCTTTAAAAGCAAGGATCACATTAAAAGCAAGAGAGCCCCCGATATAAAAACAATAAAACAGGCTATCTGAAACCCTAGTCTTCATGCGCATCACAGGCGGGCAGACTAAGCGCATGTGCATATGCACATCCAAACCAGCAAAGAGAGTGGAGGGGTAGCGGGGGGGTAGCCCCTAGCTCCTGCTCTTCCTGGGGTGCTCCCGAGAAGGTGAAAAGACCACCAACACTGGCCCGCTGAACGCAACACTATAAAATCAACCAGGTCCCTCCCTAAGGAGGGAGGCTCTACGAGTCTGATCCAGCCCAGTATGAGGAGAGGAAATGGTGGATCCAGAGATGACCCCCGCAGGCAGGCTCAGAGAACCTCCCTCTTTAGGGAGTTTTTTTTTTTTTTTTTTTTTTACTAGCTTAGGTCATGTCTAGCCTGTGTAATAATCCGGGGTTGGGTGAATCACTTTGAAAAGTTTTTAACTTACCCAGACACAGAGCTCTCTCCCTCCTTGCTGATGATTCCGACATGCTTGCGTTTAAGATGCTGCATCACCACAGTAGTACTCCCGTGCCATGCTAAGTCTGACCTACAAACGTTGCAGGTAACGAATGTCTTTGCCTCATTTAACTGAAAATGCTCCCAAACTTTATAAGTTTTTACTTTTTTGGGTCTCGCTGCTTCGGCCATGTTCCTCTTCCAAACACCTGCCGGCTCTCCCTCGCGCTGATCTGACTTGCTCCAGTCTGCGCGCAACGGAGGGCGGGGGCTTTTGGAAGAGTTGTGCGACACAAAGAATCGATGACGCAATTAGTTGCCAACGCTTTTAATAATCGATTTTTATCGATTTTATCGATTCGTTGTTGCAACCCTAATACTGACAAACATGGTCTTTAAAAAAAAGTGATAAAAGTGGATTGGGAAATTTTTTTGTTGGTATGGCAACTCATGAAATGATTTGAAATTGGGGTGAAGGAATGAACTGATCTTCAAATCGTGCACCTGGAGACTAAACTGCACAGCAGGAAATATTTTTCCTACTACAAAATCCATGTTACAATGAATCCTTCTTCATGTCGTGTAGCATTTAGCAAAATCCAGTCCAGGATATATGAAATTTGTAGAACAGGCAGACCTAGAAATCTACATGAACCATTACAGTAGCAGAAATTTTGCTCTGCAGGTTGGTCTAGCCATACTCCATTATAGTGTCAGCAGGTCTCAGCTAAGTTTAGACCAGGCTCTCTATGTAGAGAGACACTGGGCGGGTTTAGCACCATTATGGCAGAGCTTTTTTTCCCCTTTTATTTGTATGATGACAGCATAGCTTAATAAGATCAAAACAACAAAGGTGTCCGCTCAGAAACAGCACTCGTTTGATTTTGGCACCAACTTTGAACGATTTAAACCTGATTCATGCTTCTGCGTCTGCGTCAGTGCGGAGACACGCAACGCCATTATCCGTCCTTGCAGGGCTCTCCAGCAGGCCGGAGTCGAGCTCTCTTTCCTGAGCATCCGTCCATCGAGATGGAGAAGGCAAGCTTGTGATTGGTCAGGGCACCGCTGTCATCTACACTGCCACCATTGCGTCCTCAAAAACATAAAGAGAGCCGAGAATAACTAGTGGTAGACACGGAGAAGCTTGAAGAATACTTTGCGAAAAAACTATAAAAATATGAATGTTTAATTCGCCATGACTGGAGGAGTGAGAAGACAAGCGTTTTGTTTGTGGATGGAAATGTGGGTTTAGAGGTGGTGAGCGCATGAAAAGGTGGAGGAGAATGAGAGACAAATTTTTTCGTGTTAAAAAGTCTTGTATATGCCAAAAAAAAAAAAAAAAACCACAATATAAACACACTATCTTGGACCGGATACATGACAGGATACCACAGAACAGCGCTACGCCCTCTGTTGTCCTGGCGGGGAATTGCTTTGCAACACTCCCCAGGAGATGGAGAAGTATGAGAGCAAAACACTTCTGTCAATCCGTGCGTGTCTGTCCTTTGTGGAGCTGACGGAGAAGCATGAACCAGGCTTTAGACTTGGGCTTTACTTTGAGAAATGAGCAGATATATGGTATTCTTTGACGTTGACTGATTCTTGTCGTTATGAATGTGTCACTTTGATCGGTCCTAGCGTTGTCTTATTGCACGTGGAGACACAATCGTATATTCCACCCCATGACTGACCTGTGTCTGTGGGTGGCGACTAGACTATATATTTACAAATATTCATTTTATTCTTAGCCCCCAAGATTCTTTGAGTGAAATACGTGACCGACATCCGTTCCAGCATTTCTTTACATAGATGGATGATGTGATCTGTTTGTGCTAATCCTTCTTTTTATGGTCTTTTTAAAGATGTAAACTACGTGAACATCAGCTGTCACAGCTCAAACAGAACACTGTTACAATCCCTTTACATACAGCCAGGGGCGCCGTAAAGCGGTGAAAGATTAGGAAGATTCTAAGGGCCCACAGCTGTCAGGGGCCCAAAAAAGTTTCAAAGCTGAATAAACAAACAATCTTTTAGTCTTTATGAAATTTATATTTATTCAGAGGTCCCTACTTTATTTTGACTAATTAATTTGAACCCCCCCACCCCGGCATAAAATGGTACAGTCAGCCAGCTCACGCAGCAGGCAGACAGCAGAGTGCGCCAAGGCTGCAGTAAAAATATGTTTGCAAAAACAAAGTCTGGGTCGAAGTAAGAAAGGGGAAAGAGGACAGGCAGAAGAGAGGGCGTCAGTATGTCACACAGTTTTTCTCAAACAAAGGTGGGTTTAGTTAGTGAGTGGTTAAATTCAACCTGCTTGCTAGCTCTGATATCCACAATGAGAGGAACTATGTTTCATCTAATTATGGTAAATGGGTTGTCGTCCTTGTCCCTATCAGAATCAGCAGCTGATGATATGTCAGCAGGTGTCCCCTCACAACCCAATGAACCTCAAGAAGGTGAGCAATGTAGCATGTTAGCTAGCAGCCTCATTTAAGGGGGTCTGTGGGAATCACTTAAGGCTCTCTTCTCTATCAGTACTATTACAAAGGAATATAAAAAGGCTATTTTTGGTGATGAACACATTGTTTTTCCACATAATGATAATTATAAATATCAATCAGTAAAAATGTATAGGTTGTTTTGGACGCTGGGCAGGTTGAAGCATTGTTATTTAGTCTGTTAATGTAACATAAATTACTGTGAGATTATTACTGTGAAGCACATTTTTGAAGGCACCATACAAGAAAAAAAACCTCTTCATCTACTAAATACCTTGAAATGAAATGTTTCAAATCTGACTGAATTATGGGAGGTTTTACAAGATGTAATTTGTTTATGTAGCTTTTAGAACACAAACCAAAAATCAACAATTTCCAAATAATTCATCAGAGAGCAAAGCTGAAACAAAAGCCATTATTAATTGTAATAAACAAACTTAATATAACATTGAACACAATAAAATATGAAATCTAGTATTGATGATGGAGAACTACAGCTAATATCCTGCAGGAGTCTGTGCTGCATTTTCCCTGCTGTGCATTAATTTTAAAGACTGTTGTAACTTGGATAAAGATTTTGTCACAAATGATAGCCTATATTGTAACACATAAGCCTGGACCTTCCCAATGTCAGGTTTGGTCAAGACAAAGTATATACGTATTCATGCAAAGTTGTCCAACTTTAAAATTTTACGTAACCCTAACTGACTCCGGTTTGAACTGTGTGCTTATTCATTTTGTGTCTATGATGAAGCCATGGAGACTTAATAAAGAAGTCACCTTGTGAGAAGTGAATCTTTAATTTTTATCAGTCATACAGAAATACTTGATTTCAAGATGAAAGACAGCTGAAAATGTAGTTATGTAAAGCTTTGACACAACATGGAAATTTAATTAGATATCCAAATTAGAATTTTATCCTCAAATAACATTTTTGAATAAATAAACACATTTTAAGGGAGTAAAAGGGAAAAGGAGATCAACACCTTTCAGCATGTGCATTTCTTGCTTTTACCAGCAGTGATATTGCTAATTCTGTTGAAGAAAATTCACTGTTTAATGAGAGACAGCTAGTGAAAATGATATGTAAATAAGTAAGAATGCATGTAGACCTACATAATTAAGCAAAACTGAAACAGTAATATAAAGTATATATATTATATTTTTTTTCTCCCTTCGAATCTGGGAGGGTGGAACCCCAGCTCCAGCTATGGACGAGCCCCCAGGGGGCCCAACTTGATATTTTTTCATGGGGCCCAAAATCTCTGGCAGCCCCCTGCATACAGCAATTGAGGGGTGGAAGATGTTGAGAAAATCTGTCCAAAGCTAACATATGGTAGCATTTTAGCTACTTTCTTAACTCTGTCAAAAATTTCCCAGAATGCAGTGCGACATTTTTAAAAGGATTGGCGGATCAGAAGCCAGCAGCTACTTCAGCTAATAAGGCGGATGCCTTGCCAGGCTAAGAAGAAGCATGATTATGAACAGATTTGAAAAAAAGACTGACATGTAGACATGACACAGAAGAATCTGACTGGAATATTTATTGTTTTTGAGCATTCCAAAGTAGACAGAAAATGCTCTTACCCCTCGAGTCAGCACGCTGTTGGTCTCACTTTTGCTCAGCTCCTGTGTGTATTTGTGCACTGCATGTGAACGCTTTTGATGAGGGAGTTTATGTCGAGACATCCAGGTGATTCTGTAGTTGTGGACAGGCAAGTCTCCCTCTCTGGGGGGGTCCCAGCGTAATAAGATGGCCACTGTGGCCCCACTTCCTGTTAACCTGAGGAGGAAAAGTTACAAATCAGCCATAAGACTTTTATAAACAAACTGTGAAATAAAAGTAGTGCAGGGTTTTTCTAACAGGCACATGGATGTGGACTCGTTCACTCATATTTATTCTAAGTATGTTCACTAAAGGCATATTATGTACTTTGTAGTGAGCAGAAGCTGCAATTTTGATAATCACATCTGTTATTACATGTTATTGGGTAATCTCTGTAGACATGGACATGGCCTGACCTTTATTTTACCTTTTTTTGCAGCATGCGATTAGAAAAGATACTGGAATATTTAACTGAACAACGGCTGCAGAGTGGCACAGTGGTTAGTGCTGTTGCCTTGCAGCAAGAAGGTCTTTCTTGCATGAAGTTTGCATGTTCTCGCTGTAGGTATAGAAAATGGTTGGATGGATAATTGAACAAAGACAAACTGGAATTTACTGGCAGATAAAAGAGGCGTTTGTTCATTTATGTACACTTGGTAGTACTACTTGATAGCCTGAAGTGCTGAATAGGTGCAAAGCAGCATAATAAAAAACAACAGCATATACATATGTATGTAAATGTTTAGCCACCTTTCTGTGAACTCAGGAGATAATTTAGACGCCGTCCAATCCAGAGTCTGATTGCTCACTCTGATATTTGTTGGAGGTTCTGGAGGTGATGGGTCTGTAAGAGAGTCAGAAAAAAGGATCATCTTTACCAAAATTTTGAAGCACATTGACATAAATGTAACATTTAGATTTGCCTATTTTAGAGGAAAAGCAGTAAAACACAGATTTACAAGATATTAATGAATAATCTTTGAATCATCGTTAATTATTAGTCTGAAAAAGGATATTTTTTATTGAGCTATCTAAATGTGACATTTTTATATAGAATGGCTTTTATATCAACGTATTAATCACTAAGTGTGCATGTAAACATGCTTTTCTATATTGTAGCATTAGCTAAGGAAATGAATAATTATTTTCATATATCTAAATGAAGAAGCAGCATGCAAGTTTTGCTGTCTCTAAACTAAATAATCGTTATTTTGTCAAAAGAATTAATTTCCTTATAAACATGTGGGAGATGTTGAGAAAAACTGTCCAAAGCTAACATATAATTAAAAATATAACATATATATATATATATATATATATATATATATATATATATTTAAAAATCCCTTTAAAATGGCTGGTATATTTAACCAGTCTCCCAATAAGCGCATTAGATGCACTGCAGCAGTAAAAAACAAAAAAACTTCAATTAAATTAAAGGCAAATTTTGGTCCTTTTTAAATCAACACAGTTAATTTGATTTATAGCATCAAAGATGAGAGCTACTGAAGAACCCTGCAGCTCTACTAAAAATGTCCTACACTAAACTCTTTTCGCCTGTGAAATGAAATCTTCAGGTCAACGGTCTTTTAGCACTGACTCTGTACCTTATTAGATCCTAAATCCCTGATGCTGTATCTGATTAAAACTACAAAACGTATCTGATTAGGACTACATCCCCATGGCCTCCCACAGGCCCGAGACGGCGCTCTCCTGACCCAAAACAGATCAAAGGTAGGACAACGTTTTGGGAGCTGGTACATCTGGTCTGTGTGTGTGTGTATTTCTTACCAAAAATGATTTATTCCGGCATTTACCGTCATTTGTGTCACAAAATAAAATCATCAAGAGACATTTTCTGGTCCAGACATTCTGGTGTAATCCCTGCTGGCAGGTTGTTTTGGAAATACAATTATTTAAAAGACTGAAGCTTTTCAAAATCAGATTCTCACTCTACCTAGCATCACAGCACGGTGGACGAACTGTTTTACTTCTGCTGGCTTCCTGATTTACGACCCCTGACCTCCATCCTCTGGCTAATCAGACAAATTAAGTAGAAACCAAAGACAGACCGCCATCAGATTCTATTAGGAATGTTCAAGTGTGTCTTTAACCTCTACCCCGGCATCTCAAAATGCACTCATACACTCATACGTATATATACATAACAACCATCAGCTAAAACAACTCTACCACGTAGGTACTAGAGGTCACTATAGTGTCAGCTCCTGAACATAATCAAACAAAAAAGCCATACATATATTACAAGAAATTAACAATAATAGTGAAAAGAATAAGGACAACGGTTACATTTAAAAAGTAAGACCCGTTGTACACACTGCTAACTTGAAAACAAGAATACCTTAAACCTGAATTCATTCAAGACTAGGGCTGAAACAAATTATTATTTGGATCATCGATGAATCGGATGGTGTCTCGACTCGATTAATTGAATTAAACAGGAAAATTAAAAAACTTCTAGGGAAACATTTCTCTCTCCTTCCTTTACTTTAACAACAAAACATGATTAGGAAACAGTTCAATAGCGTGCAAAACAACATGCTATCACCTAAAAAAATATCTGTAATTAAACTATGATCAGTAAAATTTAATGTATTTCATTAACATGTTCTGCAGCAAGCTACTCGAAATGCTAATAACATTTAATTTTTACAGCTAAAAATGTAATGGTAACATATCTACTAAGTACGGGTTAGCAATAATCCAGTTTCAATTATGGTCACAGTTAGACGTGTTTGTTATTACATGCTACAGTGGCTTGCCATACTTTGCAACAGTGTTGAGCAGGACAGACTCGTAACAGCAAAGCGCTGCAGACAGCTGATAATAAACAGAATGGTGGGGACATTTCTTCCACTTGTAGAGTTTAGATATTCTTAGTTTCACAACCGTCGTGTTTTTTCGAAACTCACTTGATCGTGAGCCTGCCTGTAGTTACACTTTTGATCCCAAACTTTGGACTGTTTTTATCAATTTCATCGATAAAACACACAACTCAGCTGGTGTATCTTTTTGGGAGGCTGCCTCCTTTGTTTTGGCCTTCAGGCAGAAGATGAGCAGAGCAGATGAAAAATTCCTCCTCAGTGCTATCTCGGATGCCTCTTCATAATCACCATTCAGCTTTCAAACCCTTCCCCTGAACTCAGTCCAACATTAAATCACTATTCACATCCAAACATGCCGGCAGGGGATTCATATCACAAGGCAATCCTGGCCTGACATCAGTATGACCTCAGTGCGCCGAGCATTGGACTGACAGCCTCCTACGGTCTGTGCGTGTTTGTCTGAGAGTGCATCAGAGTGTCTTTACTCACACTTTCACCCCGTCGCTCTAACCAGAACCAGGGATTTTACTGTGGCTCTAAACCAAATAAATGAGTACAGTGTGTATTTCCAAATATGTGCACATGAAGTCGTGTGCATCTTCTGTTTCCTGTGTGTTATTTATGGACTGCCTGATGGTATTTTACTGGGTGTACCTTAGCTGTGAGCAAAGAAAAAAAAAGAAAAAAGAAAGAGAGACAAAAAGGAGGGGAGGTGTTTTTGAGTTGCTTACAGGTCCAAGGGGAGGTTTAATAAAGTGACACAAAATGAACACAAGTGTATTTTGCTGTCTTTTGTGACAGGAAATGAAAATTCATTGTTGGGTTTGGAAAACGGGCAGAAGGAATCATCACACTATGTGGGACACTCAAAACATGTTTCTTAGGAGAAAAGATTTACAATCGGGGAATTTTCTTACCTTTACTGGAAATGTAGTGTTTACTGGGTGTGGTGAAGCCTCTGCTGCCGTGGCTGTTGATGGCTGCTACCCTGAACTGATACCAGCGCTGGGGTCTCAGATCTGAAAGAACCACGTGCTCTGAGAGCATCTGAAAGCACATCACACAAAAATGGCTGATTGACTGAACAGTGCTGAGGTGTTACCATCAATAATTGAATTATTCAGGACAAATATGATATCTGCTTTAATGAATCATAATTTGAGCGATATTGGCAGGAAGCACTGTTGAGGTTTTTCGGGCATGTCCAATCGGAAGAAGACCTAAAGGAAGACTCAGGAAACGATGGAGGGGCTATGTTTCTCATTAAGCCAGGGAACGCCAGAGATGCTGGCCCAAGTGTCTGGGGAGAGGGACATCTGGGCCTCTATGCTTAGGCTGCAACCTGACCACGGATAAGAGGAGGACAATGGATGGATGGGTTTAAAGGCCGATATAGCTCTTTAGCTAGCTGATTTAAAGTCCGGCACATATGTGGGCAGCCCTTCTTCTGCAGAATTTTATTTAAATGTATATTTATGTTCCACAGGCTTTATTAATACTTTAAAACATTATTGTCAACTGATATTTCTTCTTATTCCTCTGTTGTATATATTTATTACTTGGTCAGTTGATTGATCTGTTTGACAAAATTTGGGTTGAATGTTTGATTTTATTACTGAGCAGCACAAAATTAAGATTTAACAGTTCAAGACTGATTCAAGTTCATAAGTGTTATGTGTCTACTGTTGTTATTAGTGACATTTAAGCATGCAAATAACATTGAGATACTAGTCATGAAAATCGGCCTAAAAATGGCAGCCTATATCAGCCACTGGCTGACCACGGCCTCCATAAATAGACACAGTCACAAGAAAAGCCCTTATTTGTCAACCTCTATACATTCAACTAAATCTCTAATTCAGTGACTGTGATGTCTGAAATAACGTTCGCCCAAAGCTATTTAGACTGGGAATTTAACCCTCTGGAGGCAGGCGTTGCAGATTTGCAACAGTTAAAACCTACCTACCTGGTTACTCCACATACGTATTTCATGAGCATTTTTTAACTCTGAAGTACCCCTGAAGGCCTTAGTTGTACGTCCTTTTATCAAAACTTATTTTGAGCCTGAGAGGGTTAACAGTGATTGTGGAGATAAAATTTACTAAAAGGATGCTGCGGATCTAATAGAACAACAGTAAACAAACCACACAAAGTCAGTCAGAATGGAACGTCATCAGCTGCTAGTGAAAATAATCCACATACAGAACCTGAATTATGAGTAAAAATACCAAAAAGCCACATGCTTTCTCTCACTGACAGTGTAAATGTAATCACCACTTAAAGGCTGCTCATCCACTCTCAATCACACACACGCCAACATGCACTGTCATCTATTTAAGTCAATAATGAGCGTTCAGTCATTCAGACTCAGCTGGTGGAACGACTGAGGCTGCCTGTGGTTCTCTTTTAAGCTCTGCTTATTTACCTAACCTCACGCAGACACACACACACACACACACACACACACACACACACACACACACACACACACACACACACACACACACACACACACACACACACACACACACACACACATACTGGTTTTTGTGGTATAGCCAGACATTTCTCTCAAACAGGCCCGGTGGTGGTTTACATGGACCACCCTTTCCGAAGGTCCTAGACCAATGGGATGAAGATAAAACCACTGCAAAAAATCTGAAAAAAATTTAGCTCACTTTAGGTCTTAAATATGACCTACACAACATTTTTTACAGCACCCTGACACTGTTGTGGTTAGTATGGACTTTCTGTTTTGTGGTTTTTAAGGACCAAAATAGAACATTACAAGGACTTTAAAGGGACAATTATGTCACATGTACCGCCCATCTAATTACCATAAACACACAACTGGTTTATGAGAACAAAATAAACATTAAGGGGACTTTAAAGGGACAACTGCATCTCATTTCAAGCCCTTTAAATGGGGATAATTAATCAATCTGACAAACAGAAATCACTGATGACTGTTTATTCATCAGGTAAAAATAGAACATGGTTTAAACCAAATAACAATAATTGAAACAATAATTGCCCTGCCGTATGTCTTAGAAAAAAAAGTAAAGTGCACTCTTTAGAGCATCAGTGTTTACAATCTTTGTAGTGAGCTAATGAAATCTTGTACCACTGAAGAAAGTACAAATGTTGCATTCAGTTTTAACAATCATGAACAAAAAATAAATAAAAAAAATAGGCTAAACAATCTTAGGGAAAAAAATAATGTACACTCTTTGGAGCACCAGGTTTTAGAATCTTTGCATTGAACTAATGAAATTAAATGCTAGCTTAATATTTGTGAACATAATATACCAGCAAGAACCATCTCAATGCAAAAAAAAAAAAAAAAAAAAAACTTCTGTGACTGATTTATTTTTGCTTCAGGGCTTGCCTCTTGGCAGCTATGCCACGGTTTCTCACAAAGTCCCTTATATTTTGCACAGTTCTGTTGGCTAACACAGGGCCCTCAACCAACTTACAATGGCTGCATTCAGTTTTAGAGGCCAGTTTTCCTTTACTTATGTGATTTTTGAAATGTCGCATTACAGCAACAACTTCAGCAGTAGACCAGGGTTTCTTTGGTCCTCTTCTGAGTTCTTGGTTAGAAGATTTTTCTGCAAAACAAAGGTAAAAGGCATTATTGTCATACAATAAGTAATATACTGCCATTACAAACTACCACAGATTTAGACAAAGACAAACTGATGTCTCTGGCAAAATCACTGTAAATAGAGATAAAAGATATAATATATACAAATGTGCGTTAGGGGATACTCCAAAATAAAGTTTAGGGAGGTTTTGCTCAGACTCGTGAAAAGCCAGTTGCAGTAGCCTAATAGGAGATGAAGGTGTGGATAACAATCTCAAGTTCTCCGCTCACATGATTCCAAGATGGAAGCCCCATCTGCATGACAGAAAATAAATTAAATGGACACAGAGGTGGGAAAGGAGGAAATGCTTCTACTTTTTTTGTTGATGAAGTTTCATTGCCGCTGTCATTTCAAGGTTAGGAAAATATGAGTATGGTGCCTGGAAAGAAGGGCCAGGCAAGGAGTTTATACCATTCAACTTTTAAGAGATGCGCCTTGCAATCCCAGAATGCTTCTGACAGTACCGCCGCCTGGATCCTAAATCCTTCAAGAAGGTAGTAGATATGGTGGGGCCATCAATCCAAAAGGTACCGTTTTGTTTATCTTTCTGACATACAGACAGGGAGCTGCATCTGAATACATCTTTTAATCATGTGAGCAGAGAACACGCTTTGATTGGCCACCAGAATATTTCAATTCAGGCGGCATTTCACGTTGTGTGCACAAGGTGAGTTTCTACTCCCTGTGAAGCGAAAATTATCAAACCGGTTTGATTTTCACCTCAGACAAAAAAACTCAAGAGGAAATTAGGCACACACAGCGAGGTATCTGCTAAGCAGTCATTCGACGCCATTTGCTCAGCATTTTGCCCTTGTGTGCAGCAGGTTTAAGGAAAAACGCGTAATTTGGGAAAGCTATGACACACACACACACAGACATGAGCTAAAAAATGATCCCAATATTTCAACAATAAATCCTCCTGGGACTGGTAGAATTTCCATGCTATCCTGGATTGCAAAGAACGGGTCAAACTAATGAGTTACTCCAGCATCAGGAAGATTAATTCTGTTAAGCTATCGGTTAAATATTTTCCAGAGTTAAAAACATAAACATGCAGCGGTAAAACTAGCAGCAAATTAGTTTATTATCTGTCGATTATTGAATTATATTGAGACAGTATCATGGAGCCAAGACCAGCTGAGAGCTTTTCAGCTTAGAGCACCCAATGGAGCACATAAATGAAATGTTTAACAAAAATAAGCAAACTGCACCGAGTTTGGTTCTGAAGACAAACAGACTCATCCCCGGTGTCCAAACCGGGTCACTGATCTTCTGGGTCAAATGTTTCAAAACATGTCTGCACCTCCGGTAGTGATATCCAGCTAGTAGGGTTGGGAGTTCGGTTGAACTTCTCCGGTAATCTAATATCCGTTCTTTTTGCCATATCACAGAGAAATAAATCCGATTGACCAGCAGAGGCTTCTAAAGCTACATCTGACTGATGACACATTGTCCTCTGCTATAACACTAACACAGAAACACCAGACCTGGGGGTTGTTTTCAATAGCCGTTTTTGCAGACCTCCTTGAACATCACCAGTTGCCCCGGGCTTAGACGTTGCTTAGAAACTAGTTTCTGTTGTTGCCACGCTAGTCAAAAACATCAGATTTTAATTCCAGCTGTGAAAATCCAAAAACATTTTTCACCTGAGATTTTAATACTTATTTACACATGCCATTCAAAGGAATTTTGGTTCTGGCCAGTATCTTTAGCTTGGCAATCTTAGCTTGAGAATTCAAGGATGCAGTCAAAAGATGTCTTGAGAAGCTGGACCGCGGGTAAGTTTGACCTGACTTCATATTGCTTTCTCAATTAGTTCCGGGAATCAATTGTTCTATGAAAATGACACACAAACACAGCTGATACAGTCCTATAACATTATAATTGAAGACCTATTGTCCTTCAAGGCCGCTACAAGACTGATTTTGTTAAACAACTTGGGATTTCCTTTGTCCTAGGACACCAGGTTGGAAAAAATAGGTAACCCTCACATCTCTGTCTGCAGAGTTCTAGGAGATCACAAGATTCTTTAGATGTAGCAGATTGTCGCTGAGACTAGTTTTCTTCCACAGGCGCAAAATGTTTCTGCATTGGCACTTCAGGCTGTTATTAAACCAGGAATTAGGGTTTACTGCAGGAACTGATCTGGTTCTGATAGGAGAGAATGTGGTCCAGAATGGAGAGGCAGTGCTTGTTGAAGTGAGTAGTTAAAGAATCTGGGTCATTATCAAATGAACAAGAAAGCGGCAGGTAATTAGCTAGCTGTGCCCTTAAAAATTGAGACAATGTCAGCATTTAGACCCAGGGTAAAAACAAATGGTAAATGGCCTGTATTTAATATAGCGTCTTCTAGTCCTGGAACCCCCCAAGGCGCTATACAACACAATCAGTCATCCCCCCATTCACACACAAATTCACACACTGGTGGGGATGAGTTACGACGTAGCCACAGCTGCCCTGGGGCGCACTAACGGAGGTGAGGCTGCCGTGCACTGGCACCATCGGTCCATCCAACCACCACCAGCAGGCAAGGGAAGGTCAAGTGTCTTGCCCAAGGACACAATGACAGCAACAAACTGAGCAAGCCTCGAACATGCAATCTTCTGATTACAGGGCAAGCACTTAACTCCTGTGCCACCGTCACCCCAAAAACCAAGGTCTGGACAGTGCCCCTTGGTGTGTGTGTGTGTGTGTGTGTGTGTGTGTGTGTGTGTGTGAAGCCAGAAACATGCTAGTGAGTCCATGATGCTGGAAAAGCTCCTGGCAAGGTTGTCTGAGGCATCATTAATGTGAATGTTATAATCACCAAGAACCACCAGTCTGGACAGCTTTACAATAGAGGATAGGAAGTCACTAAACTCCTGAAAGAACTGTTTGAACTAGATGGACCATAAACTACAGCACAGTAAAACATGTCATGCCCGATTTTAATTAGCTGCAGTTCAAAGCAAGAAAAGGGGCCTGAGGTTGTGGAGATACAAGAAGAATTATCTCTAAAAACAATAGCTAGGCCTCCACCTTGACCAGAACCACACAGCTGGCCAAGGAAGGAATAAGCACACGGGCAGGGTTCAATCAGAGCCAGAATAATCAAATGTTTGCTGCTAAACCTTAGTCTAATCAGAAAATCCAGGTTTTTAGAGAGAATCTGATCTTTAACCAGGAAGGACTTATTGTTAATGGAGCAGGTATTTAATAAAGTCATGCTGATGTGGAGAAATCAGCATCTACAGATACAGCTGATGTTGAGTGGATGCAAGTTAGAGTTAGATCTACGGTGTTTGTAATATCCACTCCTGTAGGGAACAGGAAGAGAAACCACTGAAGAATTAAGGTAAACAGCCTCTGTCAGTGCGCCCTAGGGCAGGTGTGGCTACATCGTAGCTCATCCCCACCAGTGTGTGAATGTGTGTGTGAATGGGGGATGACTGATTGTGTTGCGAAGCACCTTGGTGGGTTGCAGAACTCCAAGAGGCACTAGACAAATACAGGCCATTTACCACAGACCTTAGAAAACATGGATGGACAAACTGCCACCTTGTTACCTGGCGGGAATGAGTAAGTGGTGCTCAGGTCAACAAACAGAGAAGAGGAAGCTAGAAGATCAGGCAATTTTTTTCTAGGCAACCCACGCTCAAAAAGTCTCATTCTCACATGGATTCCTGCTCGTTTACCCCATTTCCTCCAACATTTCCCCTGGATCAGGCAAACATCTCTGGAAACACTTGGGTTAAAATGAGTGTTTGGCTCAGGGCCAGCAGAGTGCATGTAAGCATAATGGAAGATAGATCCTCTGTGCGTCTTGGGTAATCACAGACGAACGCAAGGATAAAGAGAGTCTGGAGATGATATGACATGGTAGTCGGGACACTACTGAAGAGGATTGCACAGACAGGGTTAGTAGAGAAAAGTTTGAAAATGTGGCTGGTAACTGGCTACTCCAAGCACAAGTGCCATCTCGTTACCGGTCAGGGCACTGATCGGCTATAGCGGGATTGCAGAGTGTAGCCTGTAGGTAATGAGTGAAAAGAGAATTTTGGCAACCCACTGAATTTCACTGTGTAGACCATGGAAAGATCATTTAGTGGTAGAATCAGACATCCAATATGGTCTTCTCCTCTGCTTCTTGAAGTGTGCAGATGTTATTTCTTCTCCACCGCTACTCATCTTTTCAAGGCTCTTTGTCGTGTCTGACTGCCATAGCACTTCTTTGCATTTCTAATGAAAACTTCAGATTTTTATAAAGCTATTGATCTGGTGAGCTGGTCTATGAATGAAATTGCTTAAAAAAATTCCACGTTAAGAGCTTTCTTGTGTCTTGATGAAACGCACACGTTGTTGACACATGTTGACAGCATCCCTAATCTCTAAGCAAGTTCAGGAGTTGCTGCTAAGACAGGCAGCGGCAACCCTACTGCCACAGCCTACTCTGACTCAATATTCCTCCAGATGTTTCCAGCATATGTTCATATATCCTTTGAGGAGATTCTGGTATACCATCATTATAAGTCACTTTGGACAAAAGCATCTGCTAAATACATAAAAATAAACAATACATTTAGGCCTGCCAGGTTTGACTGGCATTCTCCCCCAACATCGAACCCAATTCACCACCAGCTATTGGTAAATTGACAGCTCTGCCCCTCTCTTCATGCGAGTGTTTAAGACATGAGACCGCAGATCAAGTGAGTCCACAAATAATTGAAAGGTACCACCGCCTGGAGGTAACTGAACTGCGACCTACGGTTTACTAGTGCCAAGAGCATATATGTAGACTTTTATGCCTGACCATGGTGTTCATCATGAAAGCCAATGATGGCACCGCTCAGATTTAGATCAGGGCGGCCATTCCTCCTAACCATACTTTACAGGTCTCACTGTTGTTGCCCACATGAGCATTGAAGTCCCCCTGGTTGAGGGAGTCACAGGAGGGAGTGCTCAAAGTCAAGGGATAGCTGAAAACAGATCTTCACTGAAAATGTACAGAGCTGTGTTGCTCACTCTGTTTATTTTTGGTGTAAGCAACTGAACAGTTGGCATGACAACAGCTTTAAAATTTGTAAGCACTTTGATTCATACAATCTCTAAACTAAAAGGTGTCTTACCATCCAAAGTTTGGTTGGCATCCTCTATTGAGGATGTTGACACAACTCCTGTCAAGAGAAGATATCAAAACATCAAAAATGCTTGTCCTATAATAGAAACACAGTTCTATTGCATAGATGTAACTTACCAATGTTATCTGTGTCAGGGGTAGTCTGTGGCATCCTCTGTGGCGTCATCTGTGGCATAGTTGGTGTAGAGTCTGCAGCTTCCACAAGTACAGTGTTCCGAAATTCGTGTGCCGATCTCTCAGACTCACTGTCGTCTGATTCACTCTCACTTTCCATCGCTTCAGTGTCACTCAATGCAAGTTCATCTGATAAGATAAAAATTTAAGTGATGAATAACCTGCACTTGTATAGCCCGTTAGAGGACTACAAAGCGTGTTAAAGTCCCATTGTCATCATCACACACTGGTGAAATTAAATCTTTGTATTTGACCTATCCCTATGGGGAGCGATGAGCTGCAGCAGTGGCTGCACTCATGAACCAATGGGTGGTTTAACCCTCGAATCCAACCCTTAAATCTGAGTGTCAAATAGGGAATAATTGGGTCCCATTTTTAAACTCTTTGGAAAAAACTGCTGAATTCTTTGCTGGGATCCGGGATCAGTCATACAAATCCTCCAAATACTTCTTTACCCACTCAACATCCTGAGCTACTTCTGTCCTAAATGTCTTGCATGAAATCAAAATGATGGTCTAAAATTTGAAGCACTACATACAAGACTTCAAAAGTCCTTAGATATCCGACTAAAGTTAAGGTATCACAAATATAGTATACACTACACGTGTGTGTGTGTATATATATATATATATATATATATATATATATATATATATATATATATATATATATATATATTAAAAACAAAACTTTTTTCTTTATTTACATTAAGATATGGTGATTTGGGGTAGGTTTTAATCATTGAAATAAGACACTATTTTCCATAAGATCATTTCATTACCAACCTTCAACATCAATGTCATCAAGAGACTTTCCTTGCAGAGTGGAAAGTTGTCCTTTTTCCATAGACAAAAGCAGCTTGGAAATCTTTGCCAACTGTGTAGTTGGAACTGGTAATCTGTAGAATTCCCTGTGAACACGGATGTCGTGACCCAAGAAGTCTGCAACCTGGTCAAGTTCATTATTTTTTAAGTTCAAGACTTGTGAGAGTGTGGCAACATGTTTCCGGAGGTGTGTTGACCTAAGAAACTCTGGGTGCTTTGCCCCACACTGGTTTGCATAAAAACGCAAACAATCCTGTCCTCTGTAGTGACTCTGTGAGGTAGGTCTTGCAAAAAGGAAGAGGTTTGTGGGACTAACACCACAATCGTCTCTTTTAGTGGTCAGTAGTGACAAAGCATCCACCACCTTTGGTGTGAGAAGAATTGCAACCTTCCGGCCTCTCTTTCCCATGATTTCCACTCTACTGAAATAGTTGCAGAGCTTCTGTTCAACCTTGGACAACCCCATGGCAACATCTTCATGGAGCTTTGTGTCATCTCTCTTCTGAAAACCTTGCAAGTGCATTTTTGAAACTTCTCCTGCTCGTCTACGATTGAACACAATCACCTGTGCAAGAGTAACCTTTGCAAGTTCTCCATAAGTCTTGGGAGTGGCCTTCTCAGACAAGTTGCAAAAGGCGGTTTCTCCAGCTTTTTTAAGGTACTGATGAAGACATTGAACATCTTCTGTGAATGGCAAGGTAAGTGGCTTATTGTACTTGGCCTGACTCAGAGTGTTCAAGGCAGTATGGGACACTAACTCAGACCATTTGGAGTTGTATAGTTTTTTGAAAACCTCTGTAGATCTGATCAGTTCTTCACTTTCTGCTATTAGCGCTCGACAATGGATGATGTCACAGACTTTCTGCAATGTATGTCCTAGTTTCAATGCAAGGCTTGGTATTTGGTATGAACATGTTTCTTCATTGAATCCTGCCACAGTCTTTATTGCCTGCACAACTTTCTGAAAGTTTGCAGGTTTCACAGCATCCTCTAGATTATGTATAGAGAATTCGGTGCGCAGACATAACAAGAGACGTCCAACTTCACGAAGTTTCTGTCGTATGTACTCATACTTGGTAGGGTCTTTTCCATGTTTGTTGTAGAGTGACTGGGCAAACTGAATGATAGTAAGGTCATTTCTCACAACTGATGCTACATCATCCTGGTTCATGACACTGAGGAGTTTCCAAACTCCCTCTGAAATCTGCTGACACATTGTCGATTCTTGAGCCATAGCCAAAGCCAGTACTTTGGTTCTTCCACATTTTTCATTAGGATCTTCATTTACTGGCTTACAGGGACATCTACGGACATGTCTCCACAAATCCTTTCGAATGTACATACCCTGGCAGTACATGCAATGAATAAACTTTTTAGACTCCACTTTAGCTTTTGGCATTCGCTTTACTTTCAAAGGTCCTTGTCCAGCTTGTAAAACCTTTGTGTTATGTCTAAAATTACCCTTGTTTCGCATTTTTTCTACAAGGACTTTGCGTTTTTTGGAATCATCAGGCAGCGAAAAGGCGTAAGCTATTTCAGCATGATCTTTGTGGGTTCTTAAATGACGAGCGATTTTGCTTTGTGGCTTACCACAAACAAAGCAAAAGTTTTTGTTACTCATTTGTAGAGTGGATTCCTGCTTGTCTTGACCCTCCAGTTTTTTCTGTGAGACTCTGTCTTCAAGAGAAGTGGCTGGGCCTAATGTTCCAGCTGCGTTGTCACCCATTTTATCTCTGCAAATAGGAGGCCAACATTGTGATGGGCTTGGTACAGGTTCTGAAATTGTGTGACACTCCTCAATCATATTAGTATCAAGTATTGCCAGGTTTCTTTCTTTTTGTCCAACAGTAGACTGTTTAGACAAAAGTGAAACTTTTGAATCTTCATCTTCATCTTCATCTTCAGAATCTGGTATATAGTCCTCATCTGAATTACACTGATCGTCTGAGATGTCATGCGATTCTGGCAGTACTTCTGTGTCCTTGTCTGATGAGTGGCCAGCTGAATATTCAAATAGCTCCTTTTCCTGGAATTATAAAACAAGAAAATTATGTACTTAGTGACACTAGGCCAGAGCGAGATTTAAAAAAATGTGATGTGGATAATAACCTGGGATGAATGCTGGAGTTGGTCTTGAATATTTTTTTTTAATCGTTTAAGGCAGTAGGCATGCCAGACTGTTGAACAAACTACATACATAAAACATAAATACATTTAGAAATAAACAAAGCATAACATCAAAATGTAACAGCAAAATGTTCTTGGGCAAGAAATGTTATGGCCTAGTACAAACAAAATAACTTACATTTGCACTGATATCCAAGCCATTTCATGGAAGAAACCGGTCCCACACATTGAGCACACTTGTCCAATGATGACAAAGTTGCACAAACTAGGTAATGTTTTTGACACTGTGGGAGGAAAACACATTCATGTAATTTAGAGTAAAACATCTGTTTGCTTAGGAAATATTTAAATTGTCAGATAATCAAAAGCCTGTTTCTACTAAATGTAGACCTATTTTAAACTCCCATTCATCTTCCAGATCTTGGAAAAGGTTGTGGCTAGAGCTCATTAGACTCGAACAGCTTTTTTAGGTTCTCTAATGACCTTCTGACCCACAGTGATGCAGAGGACAGTTCTGTTCTGGTTCTGCTGGAATTAATCTGTCTGAGCATTCCTTCTCTATAGCCATCTCCAAATTACGGTCCTCCACCTCCCTTGCCCATGGTGTCCCACAAAGGTCCTGTGCTGGGGTGTCCACTTGTCATTAAAACATAAGAAGCTGGAAGCCATCCATGCTCTAACCTCCTTGAGGCAGTCCAGGAGTAGCTTGACTGAACTTGCATAACTCTGTCTCAAGGGAAAATTGATTTGCAGGTCATTCAGGTCAGAGGATTGCCAGAGAGCTGGGACCAAAGTTTCAATGGCTACCATCAGTATTACACTACACAGCCAGGGACTCAAACATGCAGTGCCAGATGCATCCCCCTGCTTAAGCCAGTACACGTGCAGGGCCCATCTGAAGTCTGCTTGAGAGAGTTTGGATGATCCAGAAGAGGATTGTGAGAATGTTATTTGGTCAAGTGAAACCAAAATATAACTTGTTAAAAACTCTACTCGCCACATTTGGAGGAGAAAGAATGCTGGGTTGCATCAAAAGAACACAAATGCTCCTGTGAAGCATGGGTGTGAAAACATGCTTTGGGGCAGTTTTTCTGCAAAAGGGCCAGGATAACTGATCTGTATATAAAGGAAACAATGAATGGGGCCATGTAACAACTGAGTGAAAACCTCATTCCATCAGCAATGGAATGGAAAATAAAACATGGCTGGGTCTTTCAGCATGACAATGATCACAAACATACCACCCGGATAACAAAAGGAGTGGCTTTGTAAGAAGCATTTCAAGATCTTGGAGTGGCCTAGCCAGTCTCCAGATCTCAAACCCCTTGAAAAATGTTTGGAGAGAGTTGAGAGTCCCTGTTGCTCAGCGACAGCCCCAAAACACCCCATAAGAGATATGCATGGAGGAATGGTCCAAAATACTGGCAACAATGTGTGAAAACCTTGTGAACTTAAAACGTTTGACCTCTGTCATCACCAACAAAGGGTATATAGCAAAGTATTGACATGGACTTTGCTCTAGACCAAATACTTATTTTCCATAATAAACAAAACAAAAATTAAATTACAGTCATTTTCTATATTTTAGTTTCTCATTCTGTCTCATATTTGATGTATACATATGAAAATTACAGGTCTCTCATCTTTTTAAGTGGGAGAACTTGCACAATTGGGGGACGACTAAGTACTTATTTTACCCCATTGTAAAAACAGGAATAATTTTTGTCTCATTATGGGAATCCAATTTTTCTGTAAGATGTACCTGTTCCACGTTGCAAGCTGATGAAAGGAAAGTGGTTTCTTCACTCAGATCCTGCAAAAAGATGAAACAATTTTCTGTTGAGATGCTTTTAAATGACATTAATAATGCAGATATAATACGTCAAATTAAAACTAACAGACACTATTTTGTCTAGTTTACATCTAAACATTGAGATTTTCAAACAGCATCCATACTGTATTTGTAAGTTTCATTTAATTTACAAAAAGACACCCTCCAATTTATTTCATGATGCCTTCTCCCAAATGTCATTTATTAAAAATTATGAGTTAAAAAAGGTATGGCATCTGACTCTGGATTGCCTCAGGTGAGACCTGCATCAGACAAGCATCAGCTAATCAATACAAGTTAGTGACGAACTGCTGTTCCTATACTGTTTTGTTTTTTATACATTTACACTATATATGAAAACGTGTAGAAAATTCTTAATGCATTGGACTGTAAACACACTGCCTTGCCTAAAAAATAAGTTGCCACCTGGATTTAACTAAACAAACAGATAGGAGCCTGGCTGGGCGATAATCTTTCAACTCGTAACAAGTTATTTAACCCCAACTGGTGCAATCAGTTGCTTCTCATTTCTTAAACAGCCATGTAGAAAAACACATCTGGTGGCCGTGTAAAAGATGTTCGTCTGTTTTGAGAAGGGTCAAATGATTAGCAGGCATCAAGCAGTGAAAACATCTAAGGAGATTGCAACGACTAAAATTGGCTTAAGAATGGTCAATGAATTATTAGAAACTGGAAGCATAGTGGGGACCAATCATCTTTGAGGAAGAAATGTGGCCGAAAATAAAATCCAGAATGATTGTGATTGGTGATCACTTAAACGTTTGGCGGAATCAAATCAAAGAAAAACAGCAGAACTCAAAGCTGTGTTTAATAGTGAAAACAAAAGCATTTCCACAGGCACAATCCAAAGGGAACTCATGGGATTTGGACCAAACACATGTGTAACCATAAGAAAACCACTGATGACTGAAGCAAACTTGGAAAAAAGGCTTCAAGTTGCTAGAGAGTATAAAGATTGGACTCTGAAGCAATGGAAGAGTGCCATGTCGTCTGATGAGTCCAGATGGACCCTGTTCCAGAATGAAGGTGCATCAGGGTAAGAAGAGAGGCAGATGAAGTGATGCACCCATCATGCCTAGTGCTGCCTACTGTTCAAACCTGTGAGGGCAGTGCTATGATCAGAGCTGCTGCAGTTGGTCAGGTCTAGCAGGGTTCCCACTTTTTTTTTTTTTTACATGATTTTCCAGGACATTTTCAAGACTTTCAGTTGCTGCAGTATGGGTCAAGTTATTACAACTAGGGCTGGGTGATATTTTCATATCACGATGTATTTTGAAAACATATGATACTGTACTGTATCGATTTTATAGTTGTTCAAAGATTGTTGTCTTTCACTATAGGGACCGTAAGTCTCCACCCTTTCCGGTCGGCTCATGGATCCCCGGAAGAAGAAAAAAAATTATGCAAATCAACAGGGCTTAAAGAGCTATTTTCTAATTGTACCGTCCAGAAATTGTCAGTTTTTCATGTACAGTTTGACATCTTCAGTATCCGATATGGAGACAGGAGTCTATATTTGTTGCCTTTAATCTGCCGGATCCTGCCATTCCATCAGCTGGAGTCCGGGCCTCTGCAGCTCTGAACACATGATAACGTATTGTCAACAAACTGTTCCCGTTTCAAGGCCTTAAGCTTCCCCTTATCACTTCTACAGGATTCCTCCGGCCTCTGAATAAATTTTCAGCTCATATGAGTTAATTAATCATGAAATGAAATGAACAATATGGTTAATTGAAATGTTTTGATTATTCTGTGCCAAAGTTAATAAGGTTGAAATGAATATTGTCCAACAATGATCCATTTGTCTGATAACCAGCGTACGTGACTTGACAAGCTAATCAGCCATACACTTAATACACATGACGAGATGATAAAGTTAAAGTAATTTCATGCACATAGATATGTTCTTACCCACAAATCAGAGAACCTTCTATCTGAAAGAAGGTGTGATGTTCTGAGGGTTGTTAACTCTTAACATGGCATGTCCCGATTGGCCAGGTAATCATAATATGGGAATATTAAAACAGAAACTTGCTGAGTGATTCAGTTAGTTTATGAGCAGAACTCCGGACTGGCCACCGAGGGAAAACTAACCACCGCATCTCTTGACAAGCTCTCAAAACCTACACTCTACAGCTGACACAGAAAAACGGTTCCTTCAGCTATTCAGAAACAACTGTTCTAGACGCAAACGATTTCATCTATCTGTTGTAATCCGGGAGATGACTCTGGACCGACCTGGTCATACTGCAGTCTTTTCTATGAACTTCAGTACCTTGGGGTCACCCGACACCCCGACATCTCGGATCTGAAAGAGAGTCTCCTCAGGGGTACGTAGAACACAGCAAGATTGAGTCTGATGCCGTTTGATAAGAACCAACTACATAGTTTAATTCAGACCAAATTCTTTTCACAACCAGAACATAGTTTCTTCTAGATACAAGGTGTCTGATAAACACACACCATTCAATAATCATACATCAAATTCATCATATTTAACTCGTCTTGTTTTTAATTTGTTTAGAAAATAAATGTCTTACTTTTTATAAACCTGACTGTCTGAATTAATATGAAGTGTGTTTGATCACTGAAAAATCAAATAATCCTAGAATCTTCTGATTAAACATTCAAAGACTAATAAAATTTATATCCTATATATATAGAATATCACAGCTTATTGGTGTAGCGTTGATGAACTACATATTTAGGAACTAAGGGCTGTTACTGTCAGCTTATGTTTTAGGTCCCAAGAAAGATCAAACAAATTATATAATGGAATTTGCATGCATATATACATATACGGATAGATATATTTAATAGATATAAATTCATACACCAACTTGCTTGGTCTACGTTTAATCAAAAGAGTAATATTTAATTTTAAAGATTTAATTTAATAGCAGAGGTTATTTGTTAATTCAGAAGATCAAAAGATCTTTGCTCGTTCAGTGATCAATATACACACTCTGTTTATTTCAATGAAGAGTCAAGTTTAAAAAGTTAAGAAATGTATTACTAACAATTTAAACATGACAATTTATGAGACAATTTATAAAAGCTTTGGTATTAAATAGCAACCCTGTGTTTGGATGGATCTAAGGTGAAGTGTGTTTGTTTGCAGGTGAATGTAATGTATCAGAACGTGTATCTTGGAGAGAGGAGCGTTCTGGGTGGAAAATAATTTGGTTTGCGAATAACTAAGTTGTTATCAAAAAGCATTCAGACCCAATCTGTGTTTACCTCACCGTTCAGACGACCCTCTGGTGGATCCGGAGGTCAAGGGAGGATGTTGTTTAGCCTCAGGGTACTCGGTCCGATAGGAAGACCAGTGGTACCACCTCTCTGGTCCAAGAGATGCCATAGGCACACAGGTGGATTTGGTTGGCGTCTGAGCAGATTCTTAAGGAATCTCGTAGCGTCATCTTTGTTCTGCAGGTGTCGCTGTGTCTGAGCAATTCTGCCAGGGTGACAGAAATCGCTTGTTGGTTAAAGAGCGTGTGGGCGGCCGTCCCACTTCTCTAGAACTCACTCGCAAAATGCTGAGTGTTCTGTTTTATAAGATGGGCATTTCCTATTCTAACGAATCAGGTTTTGACATGTAGAGGAAGATTTAACATACCTCAGAGGCACGCCTTCCCCAAGATAGAAAGCTCTGGTGTCATGGGACAAGAATTGTGTGAGTGCAGTTAACCTTAACCTGATTACTGGTCCTGTATGATTGTGTATAAGTGCAGATGATCTTCTTGTCACTGTTAAACATTACTGATTATCATAAATAATAATTATTAACCAAAGAATAAATTCATTTCAGTAATTAAACTGTTATAATGAACCATGATGATTATTTATGAACATTGTAATATACAGTGAAAAGAGTTTATTAAAAATTAGTCTTTTAAATCTTGAAGTGTCCTTCTCTTCCTGTGAATGGAATCAGTCAGATAAGGGCTGGCAATCAGATTAAAGGGGTGGTAGACTGACTCAGTCTCCTGTGAGGAAAACACTGTAGATCGGAGTAGTAGCCAGGATCAAGGTGACCCAGGCTGTGTCTCTGACCTGAGGGTCAAGAAGCAGGCCCTTCAGTGACGCTACATTGGTCATAAGTAAAGATAATATATTAAGCTTAAAAGCAACATATTCACCCCCTTCTACATAATCCACTTTCCCTTACGTGCTGAATCTCAATTCTGTACTGCAATTTAAATGAAAAGTAATGTGTGTTTCAACCACGCCAGTCACACACTTTGAGATTTATCAGCTTGTAAAAGTTCGTAATTAGCATGAGTATAACTTGGACCTTGGCACGTCGCATATATGACATCACTACAGAATATCTTCTTCTCTAGCATAGCTGCTACTCATCACATGGCCAAATGTATGGTGGTTCTTTCCTCCTGAAGGAAGGATTTGAAGTTCGCTAAACTTATAGCCCTTTTCCCTCCGTTTTTGTCCATGTCTAGTTCGATGACGTCACTTTTGTGATGCGCATTTGTAGTCCTGGACTTTTTTCCACACAAAACCTAAAATAACGTTTCCCCCAGTTGGAAAATAAGTGCTTTCTTGGTATCAAAATGAGTCTCTAAAATTCATGGACATAAACGTGAATACCATGGCACATAACAAGCGGAATAAGAAAATTGTGTTTTTAGCCCCATTGACTTGCATTCATTTTTTTTTTGTTCTTCTGGGGACACATGGTCCAGAAGCAGATGGGCGTGACTTCGGCTCCCTATGCCACATGCTTTCCTTTATTTGCAATGTAACAAAACAAAAACAGAAGTGATTCACTACTTTAGTTCATACACTGCTATTTTACATACTGATATCAGTTTAAAAGTCCAAACTCTCACATTCAAGCTGTATTTGCAATCAGTCACTAACTTTAGAAAATATGACAAAACTTTCAAATTAATTGTATTTGCTCATACCAACAGGCATGACTTACATAATGGAATAAATTGATGAATTATGTGTTTGGGACTGAAATATTTATACAAATCTTTAACTGTTTTTTGTTTGTCAATTATATTGCTGAAATGGATATACATTTCCGAACTTGCATAAAAGTCCCGCCTCCTAGTTTGATTGATGGCAATGGGCAGCTTTCTCCTCACAGTTTATTTGTCAGACTTAAACTCAAAATGGGAGACCACCAATAATGCGGAACATGAGTTTCAATTTAGAGGACATAAGAAAGTCATAAGGATGCAGGACTCTCCTGTTCTGGTCACCATAGTGACTAAACACAGACAGCGGGAGGAAAAACCTCTCACTCGATATACGGCAATACAGCAGCACTCAATCTGAGAGTCGCTAGCTTTGGCCCTTCTTCAGCTGAAAACAAAAATTCATGGGTAAAATGTATACCCATTTGTATTTATTCACAAAGAGGGAACATAATTTTCCAGGACAACTCAAACATTTCCAAGGACATTTTAGCATTTTCCATGTGTTTTCCATGACTGGAAAATTGGTCCACCATCTTCCAGGACGGGTGGGAACCCTGTCTAGGTTCAGCAGCAGGATGTGCTCTAAAAATTAGGTCAGCTGACTACTTGAATATACTGAATCACCAGGTTCAAATAGTGAAAGAGTGGTTCAAGGAGCATGAGACATCATGTTCACACATGGTTTGGCCAGCAGAGTCCAGACCTTAACCCCTTTGAGAATCCTTGGGATGCACTGGAGAAGGCTTTGTGCAGCGGTCAGACTCAACCATCAGTGCAAGATCTTGGTGAGACATTAATGCAACACTGGATAGAAATAAATCTGGTGATGTTGGAGAAGCTTATAAAAACCATGCCACAGCAAATGTGTGCTGTAATAAAACTAAAGGCAGTCCAAACAAGTATTAGATTGTGTGACTAGGCTTGGGCGGCGTTACCGCCGGTGTTAAAAAAAAAAGCAATAGTGTCAGTTCCAATAGTCATAAAAACAGTGCACGTACGAGATGAGGATAAAAAAATTAAGATGAACATTTTTAATATATAAAAAACAGAAGCATGCCTGAATTTTTTGTAGTATTTAAATAATTTAAAATGTTTTGTCCAATTTTTAGAGATATTCCATGAAGTTTATGAACGCGATGTTGTCAATCGACAGCTCGGAGGACGGCTCACCGAGAGAAAAATGACAGCTCGTGCACCAGCTGATTTGGTGTCTAAAAGCTCGTGCACCAGCTGATTTGGTGTCTAAAAGCTCGCGCACCAGCTGATTTGGTGTCTAAAAGCTCGCGCACCAGCTGATTTGGTGTCTAAAAGCTCGTGCACCAGCTGATTTGGTGTCTAAAAGCTCGTGCACCAGCTGATTTGGTGTCTAAAAGCTCGCGCACCATCTGATTTGGTGTCTAAAAGCAACACAAGTTCTGCAGTTTGGGAGTATTTTGGGTTTGAAGCAAACTTTAAAGGAGAGCAGGTAAACACTAATGATGCAATTTGTGAAAACAAAAGATGACGGCGAAAGATGCACGCCCCGTCAGAACAGCAGAGGAGTGAACCGTAGCTGGAAGAGCAGATCTGTCTGGAGCCTGTTATTAAAAATGATGAAAACGCACTTTGCTGGTGAAAAATAAGCTGCCAGGCTTCCCTAGATGTCAAGACTAACCACGAAGTAAATGGGTGTCGGCCACAAGCTCAAAGCAAGTTTTCAGCAGTTGGAGGTTGAATTCCGGTTTTTCAGAAGAAAATATTTTATAAGCTGCATTTCCTTAAGTTGTTAATATTATGTGTGTTATGTTGTTATTGTTTTAGTAATAGTGTTTGTTATTCAGGTTCTGAACGATGAAGGTCCAAACTAACAGCTCAGTAATTCCACTTGAGGCTTACATCATCATTTTTAAATCAGTCCCGGTATTACTGTACACCAAGGTGTGGAGGAAGCTGGCCGGTGTTAAAATTTGGACACCATCCAAGCATATGTGTGACTTTTTCTTTTGGTGGTGACATTTTTTGGGCTGGACAATGTATAATGCCACTGAACCTACGAAGGTCCACATAAACACTATGGTCCTCCTAAACAACAATAGGATAGAAAGCTACTAAACACACACACACCCACACACAGATGGCTTACTAAAATGAAAACCTCTGTTTGGGACTGTCCTGACAAACCAGTGTCCATGTAAATCACATAACACTCAGATACACTTACACACTAATTACAAGAGTGGTTGACTAACATCTTACAACAAGTTACATATATCATCTAATTATTAAATAGAAATCACCTCTGCATTCCTGTTGGTAGAAATCAGGTTGGGATCAGTCTGCTTCAGGTTGTCTTCCGGCATCTGACTCTGGATTGCCTCAGGTGAGACCTGCATCAGACAAGCATCAGCTACTCAATACAAGTTAGTGACAAACTGCTGTTCCCATATTGTAGCTTTGTTTTTTATACATTTACACTATATATAAAAACGTCTAGAAAATTTTTACTGCATTAGAATGCAAACACACTGCCTTGCCTAAAAAAGAAGTTGCCACCTAGATTTATTTAAGCAAACAGAGAGGAGCCTCCTATTGGATAATTACTGCATGGGCGATAATCTTTCAACTGGCAACAAGTTATTTAACTCCAACTGCTGCAGTGAGTTGCTTCTCATTTCTTAAACAGCCATGTAGAAAAACACATCTGGTGGTCGTGTAAAAGATGTTCATCTGTTTTGAGAAGGGTCAAATGATTAGCATGAATAGGGCAGTGAAAACATCTAAGGAACTAAATATGACTTAAGAACTGTCAGTAGCCACATTTACATGGGCACAATTAAATTGAACGCCCAATCAGATAAAAAATTCTACATGTAAACATGTAAATCGAAGTGTTATGATCCAATTCGGCCCATCGGAATGAAGTTTCAATCCAATTGAGAGGTGGTTTTGTCCGATCATCATTCCAACTGACGTGCATGTACACAGCCATTTGGATTATTTGAGTAAAATATTGCCCACTGCGCATAAGTGCAACAGCTAGCTTTTTCTTTTGGTGGTGAAATTTTTTGGGCTGGACAATGTATAATGCCACTGAACCTACGAAGGTCCACATAAACCCAATGGTCCTCCTAAACAACAATAGGATAGAAAGCTACTAAACACACACACACCCCCACAGACAGATGGCTTACTAAAATGAAAACCTCTGTTTGGGACTGTCCTGACAAACCAGTGTCCATGTAAATCACATAACACTCAGATACACTTACACACTAATTACAAGAGTGGTTGACTAACATCTTACAACAAGTTACATATATCATCTAATTATTAAATAGAAATCACCTCTGCATTCCTGTTGGTAGAAATCAGGTTGGGATCAGTCTGCTTCAGGTTGTCTTCCGGCATCTGACTCTGGATTGCCTCAGGTGAGACCTGCATCAGACAAGCATCAGCTACTCAATACAAGTTAGTGACAAACTGCTGTTCCCATATTGTAGCTTTGTTTTTTATACATTTACGCTATATATAAAAACGTGTAGAAAATTCTTACTGCATTAGAATGCAAACACACTGCCTTGCCTAAAAAAGAAGTTGCCACCTAGATTTATTTAAGCAAACAGAGAGGAGCCTCCTATTGGACAATTACTGCATGGGCGATAATCTTTCAACTGGCAACAAGTTATTTAACTCCAACTGCTGCAGTGAGTTGCTTCTCATTTCTTAAACAGCTATGTAGAAAAACACATCTGGTGGTCGTGTAAAAGATGTTCGTCTGTTTTGAGAAGGGTCAAATGATTAGCATGAATAGGGCAGTGAAAACATTTACGGAGATTGCAGAAACAACTAAAATTGGCTTAAGAACTGTCAGTAGCCACATTTACATGGGCACAACTATTCAGATTGAACGCCCAATCAGATCAAAAATTCTACATGTAAACATGTCAATCGAAATGTTCTGATCCAATTCAGCCCGATCAGAATGAAGTTTCAATCCAATTGAGAGGTGGTTTTGTCCGATCATCATCCCAACTGACGTGCATGTACACAGCCATTTGGATTATTTGAGTAAAATATTGCCCACTGCGCATAAGTGCAACAGCTAGCTTTTTCTTTTGGTGGTGACATTTTTTGGGCTAGACAATGTATAATGCCACTGAACCTACGAAGGTCCACATGAACACTACAGGCCTTCCATTTTGTAAAACACTGCTTTTATTGTGTTGGTTGGTTATGTTCTGGTGACATATAGAACTTGGGAGTGCAGGCTGCTGCCTGAGAGGTGGTAGAAGACGGAGTGTCTCCATGATGCTTTGTTTGGTCCCTTATGTGTGTGAGGCGAGTGGTGTTACGATCCTTCCTGGGGAGTTTAGCTCGTGTGCAAAAAGGAAGGGACAATAACGGGATTTAAAAGTTAAAATGATGATCAGGTTTATTTACAAAAAACCTAAATCTTTCCATCCACAGGTTGGGAATAATAAAACTAATTCTGCCTGTGGGGAATTAAAACAAAAGTACAAATAACCTGGGATGTCCCACTGGGCAAAGATTACAGGGTTCTGGACCAAAATAAGGATCTTCAAAGGTCCAAATTCTAAACTGGGAGGTTAAACCAAACTTAAGGTGATATTTTAAACTAAACCGAAAACCAACAACACTCTAAATGTAATAAAAGGGAGATCTGCACCACAAAAACGATGAACTCTAAACCAAAACATAACAGCTTATCCAAATGCAATGGTGATGGTGATGCCTCCAAGATGGCGCCGAGTATGGCTGCCTCGTCGCGAGCTCCACCAAGCAACAGTTGTTTTTTGTGTTTACTACTTTTTCTTTCTTTATTTTTTCACGAGTAGCACATGTATCCTTGTGTACGACTGACAAACCTTACTGGACATAAAAGACAGAGTTTCTCATTGCTTCCCGGAGTTCAGGTCTTTCATCACGGACCCGCCGTTTGCAGATCCCCCATTCATCTCACCTGAGACGCCTTTGTTCTGGGCCCGTGGAGGCCGCAAGCGCCGACGCAGAGGGAGAAGATCTGGCGTTCTGCTTCGACTAAGACGGCGCACTAACAGACCACCATTACCCAGTTTACTACTGGCTAATGTGCAGTCCCTGGAGAACAAGCTGTGCGAGCTTCGGGCTCGGATCTCATTCCAGCGAGAGATGCGGGACTGCAGCGCGATCTGTCTCATAGAAACCTGGCTATCGGACAAAGTACCGGATCCCGCAGCACAACTACCGGGGTTCTCCGTGCACCGCGCGGACAGGTCACAGGAGCTTACTGGGAAAAGCAGAGGTGGTGGTGTGTGTTTCATGATCAACAACAGCTGGTGTGATTATGCGAACGTGCACCCGGTCAAATCCTTCTGCTCTCCGGACCTAGAGTACCTGATGATTAAGTGCCGGCCATTCTGGCTACCGAGAGAATTCACAGCGGTGGTTATGACGGCTGTTTATATTCCCCCACAAGCCGACACTGACCGAGCACTCAGAACTGTACAGCGCGATCAGCAATGAGGAAACCGCACACCCAGAGGCGGCGTTTATTACGATCGGGGACTTTAATAAGGGTAACCTGAAGAAAGTCTCACCAAAACTACACCAACACATCCATTTCAATAAACGTGGAGATCGGCTACTCGACCACTGCTACACCTCTTTCCGAGATGCGTACAAAGCCCTCCCCCGCGCCCCATTCGGCCAATCAGATCACTGCTCCATCCTGCTTATACCTGCCTACAGACAGAAGCTGAAACGGGAAGCTCCAACCCTGAGGGCAGTGCATTGTTGGTCGGACCAATCGGAGTCTACACTGCAGGATTGTTTTGATAACGCGGACTGGGAAATGTTTCACGCAGCTGCTAGAGACATTGATGAGTACACAGACTCAGTCTGCAGATTTATCAGGAAATGCGTGGAAGATGTTGTCCCATCCAGAACAGTTAAACCCTTCCCAAATCAAAAACCCTGGATTAATGGAGGTGTGCGAACGGCGCGGAGCACCACCTTTGCCTCCGCGAACACATCAGACTACAAACACGCACATTACCAACTCCGGAAGACGATCAAAGCAGCCAAACATGAGTACAGAGACAGGGTGGAGCAACAGTTTGAGAACCCCCGGAGTATGTGGCAGGGACTAAACACAATCACAGACTTTAGAGGGAGAACCAGAACACCGCAGACCACGGCCTCTCTGTGTGAGGATCTAAACGCATTCTATGCCAGATTCGACACAGCGAACTCCATGAGACCGGACAGTGAGCGCAACGCGGATGACGTCAGTGCACACACTGTGTCTGAAGAGGGTGTGCGGAGGTGGTTCAGGAGGGTGAACGCACGCAAAGCTACTGGTCCGGTCGGGATTCCCGGCCGCGTCCTAAGGTCATGCGCGGGTCAGCTGGCTGGAGTGTTTACACACATCTTCAACCTTTCCCTCTCTCTGTCTGTAGTCCCAGCCTGCTTCAAAATGGCCACCATTGTCCCTGTACCCAAATCCTCCACCATCTCCTCACTGAATGACTGGTGACCTGTAGCCCTGACCCCCATCGTGAGCAAATGCTTCGAGAAGTTGGTCAGGGACTTCATCTGCTCTGCACTGCCCGATTCACTGGGCCCTCTACAGTTTGCATATCACCACAACAGGTCCACTGATGATGCCATAGCCCTGACACTTCATGCTGCCCTGTCACACCTGGAGAAGAGAGACACGTATGTGAGAATGCTGTTTGTAGATTACAGCTCAGCATTCAACACCATTGTTCCCTCGAAGCTGGACAGGAAACTGCAGGATCTAGGACTGAGCAGCTCCCTCTGCAGCTGGATCCTTAACTTTCTGTCTGACAGACGCCAGGTGGTCAGACTGGGCGGCACCACCTCATCCACCGTCACACTGAACACTGGTGCTCCGCAGGGGTGTGTGCTGAGCCCTCTCCTGTACTCACTCTACACCTACGACTGCACGGCCACGAGAAACTCCAACATCATTGTGAAGTATGGGACGACACCACAGTGGTAGGTCTCATCACCAACGACGATAAGACGGCCTACAGGGAGGAGATCAGCTCCCTGACCCACTGGTGTCAGGACAACAGTCTCACCCTCAACGTCACAAAGACAAAGGAGATGATAGTGGACTTCCGGAGGAGCAGAGGAATACACACCCCCATCACCATCAACGGCGACGCTGTGGAGAGGGTGAGCAGTTTCCGTTTCCTTGGAGTTCATCTGGCAGAGGATCTTACGTGGTCATGCACACGGAAAGTAAAGTGAAGAAGGCACAGCAGCGCCTCTTCTTTCTCAGAAGACTGAAAAGATTTGGCATGAGCCGCCGCATCCTCAGGACCTTCTATCGCTGTGCCATTGAGAGCATCCTCACTGGATGCATCTCCGCCTGGTATGGCAACAGCACCGCTTACAACCGCAAAGCTCTCCAGAGAGTAGTGCGGTGTGCAGAAAGGATTATTGGAGGTGAGCTTCCCTCCCTCCAGGACATCTATAAGAAGCGGTGCCTGAGGAAAGCGGGGAGGATCATCAAGGACTCAAGTCACCCCAGCCATAAACTGTTCAGACTACTTCCATCAGGAAGGAGGTTCTGCAGCATCCGGTCCAGAACCAGCAGACTGAGAGACAGCTTTTTCCATCAGGCCATCAGACTGCTGAACACGGCGCAGACACCTCACCCTCACTACTGAAACTCCAACATTACACACTCCATACTGTACATTAATGCCACTGTTTTGCACATACCAACCTCTGTATATTTTATATCTCTTATGTTATTGTTTACTTTATTCATTTGTATATTTAGATTAGCCATTTTTATATTTTACTTGTTTTTACATTACTGTATTTTTGCACAACTCTGTTGCTGTGAAGCTCGCACACAAGAATTTCACTCGCATGTACTGTACCAGTGTACCTGCACATGTGACGTGACAATAAAAGTGATTTGATTTGATTTGAAATGCAAGAAGCTGTTAACGAATATGCTAACAGTAGCTTTACCAACGTTAAGTTCAAGTTACCAAGTTTAAATTAACCAAAAACACCCAGCAACAAACAGACCAGCATGGAGGAGAGTGCTACCACCAAAACAGCTTTCCTAATGTCTGAATGAAGCTCCTTAATGAAGGGAGAAACGCTCCCGGTGATTTTCGACATCTGCGATAGAGATGAATTAGCGCATTTGACCCCGGAAGTTGCTGTCCGTTGCCGGGGGGCGAAGGCGGGCAAAACAGGAAAGGAATCTCGTAGCGGACGGACATTGTTCCGGGTCTTCGGTATTTGGCGGAGAAGAGGGCGAACTAGAGGAAAAACAGGCAGATTCCTCCTCTATTTACAAACTCCTGGGGATATAACAAGTGGGCGTGGTGCGTCGACTACCGGATCTGACATGGACGAATTTTTAGAATCGAGCCGTCGACGTCATTGATGCGTCGCCACAGCTCTAGTTACATATGTCATCTAATTATTAAATAGAAATCACCTCTGCATTCCTGTTGGTAGAAATCAGGTTGGGATCAGTCTGCTTCAGGTTGTCTTCCGGCATCTGACTCTGGATTGCCTCAGGTGAGACCTGCATCAGACAAGCATCAGCTACTCAATACAAGTTAGTGACAAACTGCTGTTCCCATATTGTTGCTTTGTTTTTTATACATTTACACTATATATAAAAACGTGTAGAAAATTCTTACTGCATTAGAATGCAAACACACTGCCTTGCCTAAAAAAGAAGTTGCCACCTAGATTTATTTAAGCAAACAGAGAGGAGCCTCCTATTGGATAATTACTGCATGGGCGATAATCTTTCAACTGGCAACAAGTTATTTAACTCCAACTGCTGCAGTGAGTTGCTTCTCATTTCTTAAACAGCCATGTAGAAAAACACATCTGGTGGTCGTGTAAAAGATGTTCGTCTGTTTTGAGAAGGGTCAAATGATTAGCATGAATAGGGCAGTGAAAACATCTAAGGAACTAAATATGACTTAAGAACTGTCAGTAGCCACATTTACATGGGCACAATTAAATTGAACGCCCAATCAGATAAAAAATTCTACATGTAAACATGTAAATCGAAGTGTTATGATCCAATTCGGCCCGATCGGAATGAAGTT